ACTTTCTCATTGTATATTTATGTCTGCAAAGGAAAAAAAAATAGTATATTTAGGTTTAGGACCATCTGAGTGAGTCCTGGAACGTATCCCCTGTGGAATGATCATTTGGATGGATTTGAGAAAAAGAACTGACTTCCATGCCTGGCCAAAAAATGGGACCCACAAGCCCAAGAGGGCAAAACAATCCATATACTGAACAAACTCCTCTACAGAGAACATACTGTGTGGTCATACATGTACATTATTATTATTATTATTATCATTATAATCATGACACGGTGGTCTGTGCTCAGTAATGTGTGGGCAGTGAGACACAAAGTACGCAGGCAAGAACCTGACAGTATTGGGGAGGGTGACAGGCAATAAACAATAAACTAATAGGACGTTAAATTTAGTGAGAGTCCCCCGCTATTTTCCTTCCAAGGACGTGGAGTACGAGCTGCAGTGAGACCTTGCTCCTCTGGTGACTTCCGCACAGGCTGGCAGTCATCTGCATCAGGGCCTCGGTCTAGGAGTTTGACTGCAGCTACTGCCTCCTGTATGTAGATGTGGTGATAGCAGAGAAGGATAAGATCAGCGCCCTCATTAAAGCAGCCCATGTAAATGCTGAGCCTTTCTGGCCAGACTTGTTTGCAAAGGCCTGGTCAGTGTCAAGATAGAAGGCTCTTCTGCAGTGTGGCCCTTCTTCAGCAGGGGGTCCTGCTCCCTCCTGTTACTCCAGCAGAGAGAGAAGAGATTAGGAGCAAAGCAAGAAGAAAATGAGGGGTACAGTGATGATATGGGCTTTGGTCTTTTCGACTAAACCTCGTTTGTATGTAATATGTCCGATATAACTGCACTTTAGGAAAAACTGAGTGGTAATGTAACAGATACAGGTTTCATGGACTCCGCCCCCACTCCAGATATTGGAACTACAAATCCCATCAATACCAAGGAGAAGCACGCTAGGACATGAGGGTGGAGCTGAGCAGCCAGGTTAGGATAAAACCGAACATGTGGGCTTAGGGGCTCTCTTGTCCTGATGGTTTGCCACTGGTCGTTTTGGCTCTCAATCAGTTTTCAGCGTTCTATTGGAGTCCAAGTCAGCAGAACTGGTAGGATATTCTAGTTAATTCGTATTTCTTTTCCCCCATACCCCCTTTGTTCCCCCCCACCCATTGTTCCTCTACCTTTCTCCTTGTAAATAAACCCATTATCGAAACTTTTTGTGTGTGTCTGCAGTACAATTAAATCTTAAGCACGGGTGAGGACCCACAGATAGGCAACCCAATTCACAGTGGGGTGCCCTGTAACTATAAGTGCTCTGAAGGACTAAAATAGAGTGTGGTCACAAAATAGCCAGTGTGGCAGTTTGGAAGATTTAGAAGTGGTTAAGAGCTTAGCAAAATCAGAAACTCAGAATCAGAGGTAACTACAAGCACCACCCACTTCACCTGCTGTCACCTACTTCTGACATCATATTCCTAGAGAGTAAAAAGTAAGAGGACACTGTCTCACAGTCAAGAGCGAAGGAGTCCAATTTAACTGATCCACCACATATGGGACGGGATAAGTCTTCTGACATATTCCATTTAAAAATAACAGCATCAACTATTCAAAGGGATCTCATAAGCACCAGACTCTGTACCAAGCACTTTATATATATTATCTGACTGAAACCATGTAACCATGACTAGTGAGTTGTATCAGCCCTCCTTTCACAGATGAGCACACTGACTCAGTGATGCAAAGAAAACACAGGGCCAGGATTAGAACCCATGTCACACAGACTCCACAGATCACATATACCCAAAAGCCAAATGCCCAAAGGTGCAGTCTTTGCATTGGCCAATTCACTTATTCATTCAGTATGTTTTTATTTTATTTATAATGTACCAGGCATTGGGTTTGCATTTGACAAAATCTCTGCTCCCACAGAGCACTAGTATGTATGTATCTATGTATGTATAAACACATACACTCAGTCCATATGCACAGGCTCTCTGCCATCATGGGGAGGGATGATCTCTTTCATTTGAAATTACTAGAGAAAAAAGAGACAGAGAGATGTGCATAAAACATAAGGAAGCCTGCAAAGTGATTTCTTCTTCCCAGTCGCCAATCCTCCAGGCAGGATTACTCAGGGCCCAAATCCTTAGCCTTTTGTGTTTCACCCAAGGCTGATGGCCAGCTGGTTCTTTTCACAAGTTTTATCATCGGCCCAAGTCTCATTCACAGAGAAATAAGTCATCTGTATATTCTTCCCTTCCTCTTCAGCAGCCAGCTCAGTGCTATGCCCCAAAGGGCTCAGAAGTTCATTGTCATCTCAACCATTACACACCTCTCTCTCTCACCAATTTCCCTAGAAGCAAGGTCAGTTCCTTCGTGCTTTCCCACTAAACCAGTTTACCAACTTTTCAGGCAGAAGATTTTTTTGTGTGTGAAGGAGCAAGTCTTGACTTGCTCCCTGCAGGGCTGGGATAAAGCGAAATGAACAGGATAATGAGGGAGTTATTGCAATCCCTGAACCAAAGCCGACTCTGGGAGCCTGGGGAAGAAGAAATCCTCCCCAACTCAAATGATCTGTTTTACTATCTTCTTATCTTTTACACTGGTTTCTCATACTATGATTCAGCTCCCAGGTTGCTCAGAAAACAATCCATGCCTCAGTCAGAGGAGTCCAGTGCTGCTTTGCCTGGTGATTACGTCAAAGAGCAGAGTTTTCTCCTTCCATGACACAGAAAGACTGAGTAAGAGCATCGTTATCTTTGGCTTACCCCAGAGAAGGCTAAAATAAATGAGGCTCAGAAACTTTATCTCTGGTATGGTACTGCTTCCAGGGCAGAAAAAATTAGTGCCGGAATTTCATTGCCTGGTCCTCCTCTCATTCGATTCTAGATGCCTTTTCTAAATTGCTTTGATCCCCTGTTTGGAACTATGCTGAGCACTGGGATTGCTGGGATATTTCTTGATTACCCTATAGTCATTGCTTAATAGCATTCTCAGCCTCAGAGCAAGAAAATGGCATCTGAAACTATTTCTGTAAAGTCTGCTCAAGTGAGTAGAGCAAGATAAACACCAGATATAGGTAGTGGATATGTCTTATCTGAAAGGAAAACAAGACTTAAGATGATAAGTAAACTTGGGATATGATAAGATCCAGAGGCCCCTTCCTGGATTATCATTAATTTAAAAAAATCTAGTAATATGTCACTTTAACAGAAAGATTTATGTTCCACTGAAAACCAAGTTATTTTGAGCTAGCAAATGAGAACTCATATGATGGTGCAAAGCAAACCTTTGGCATATTATTGGATGACTCACCGGGGACAGTGACTTTCAGAGGTTTAACAAGAAACCTTTTATAATGTTTTATAATGTCAGACTATACACAGGGCCCAACACATAAAGGTACTTGATAAGTGTTTTATTTTTTAAACTTATTTATTAAACAAACACTTATATTGCACTTAGAACATGTCAGGTACTATTCTAAGTGTTTTACAACTGTTTACTCATGTTCTTTTCTCTTCCTGCTTTGAGGCTGAGTGTGCTGTTTAGAATTGAGGCTAGGAGAGGGTACATCAAGAAATACTGAGTAGACCCGAGTGTCCAGAGCACCTAGGCACACTGCTGACCCACCTGTTTAGATTGACAATGTTCCCAAGAGTTAACTTCAGTGTCTCGTCTCTGTCCAGGTAGGAGCGTCCTGTCATGCACCATGCTTACCATGACCTCATCTGTCCTTCACAACACCCTACTGATACTTCCTTTCCCTGCTGGTATGCCCTCTTGTCCTCCTGCTGCTTCTAGGCTGAACCAGATGAAACTGCTGCTCTTTGTTGACTGTTTTTGACTTATTAAAAAACAGCAATTTCATAGGATCTAACTTGATATTACCTCTATCTTAGAGAAGAAAATTGGATGCCTAGAGCAGATAAGTAACTGGCTCAATTGTCTCAGAGGTAGTCAATAGCAATATCTGGGTGCAAGATTCAATTTGTCTCCGTCTGAACTTCTCATAATTCCACTTTAAGCCAAATATAAGAAGCAATGATCCCCAAACTAGTTGCTTAGATTTGTATGTCAGACCATCTACTATTAGCCAATGACTTTGGGATAAAAATTTCCCACCCTGTGTTTCAGTTTTCTGTTCTTTAAAAAGGGGGTGATAATGCAGGTTTGTCCAACTTTTAGCATTGCCTTGAAGATTGAATGAGGACATCTATTCAGAGTTTAAATAGTGGCTGGCATTTGGGAGCCTTCTATACCAACCAGTGAATTATTATCTTTGGGTTTTCTTTAATGCTTTTTTCTGCTTAAGTAAACATACACAAACACACACACATGTACACACACACACACAGAGACCCTTGTCTGTTAATTTAATGCCACAGCTCAGAGAAACTCAATGTAAAATATCTTGCCGCCCGCAGAGAACCTGTGTCACAATTTCCCTACATCATTGAGGCTGAACCTGAAATTTATTGTTACAATGCCAGATTCATTTCTTTTTCGTTGTTTTTTGAAGAGTGGAGTGAATCTGTCACTTCTAAGGACTACAGGCCTGATTTATCATTCTTGACACAGAGCCAAAGAACTGCCAGACAGGAGAGGACAGCGTGGGGACAGAGGGCAATGGTAATTCTTGTAAACGGTACCTAAATCAATCCTAGCGGGCGTGTGGGGAAATTCCAGCTAGTTCAAAGTCTAGGAAGCAAGTCAAGTTCACCCCAGGAGGGGTAGTGGGAGGAAATCCCCATCTCCCCTACCCCAAATAGCTTCAGGTTGAAGTCACTAGTTTAAAGGGAAGGGAGTGTGTGTGGGGGTCTTTTATCTCACAGAGCAAGCCTGTCTAAGTTCGACCAGAGTTGCCTAGAAGCTACATTCATCTTTCCCACGTTAGCCGCGGGAGGGATCGTGCCCCACCGGTGGCGCCGCGGTTTTCCCAGGGTCCAGAGGCCGCGCCTGGCCGGCGCCCCCAGCGGCCCCTTTAAGAGCTGGTGGCGCCCACGTGCTCCGTGATGTCAGAGCAGGAAGTGTTTGAGGAAGTGGCGCTCGCTGACAAGTTTTAAGATTCCCCTATTTTAATGTCTTCGGGGTGGTGCCCGAGCCCCCGGTTTTGCTGCCCCAACCCCCAAATCCCCCGCCCCAGGGAGCCGCTCCCCCGCCCCGCGTCCCCGCTGACAGGTGAGTCCTCCGGCTGGACGGAGTCGGGGGTCGGGGGGGGGGGCAGGTGTCATCTGCACACCACTAGTCTCTCCAGTCCAGAGGGGATCGCACCTCTCTCCTCTCGGGAGGATGCTGAGGAAACTTTTGTCGAGTTTAGAAGTCGGGGGTTTCCGGGTGTGGTAGCGTTTCTCGGGATTGGAGTTGAGAGGCCCAGAGAACTACCCTGGCTGCGGTGGTTCCATGGAGGCAGCTTCGAGGGGGGTCACTTCAGAGAAAACCTTGATTCATTCGGACTTCACGTGTGGGAAGACACACGTGACCGTGGGGACGTCAGAAGGAGGTTCTGTCCCCCGCCACCTCAGGCAGAATGTGTGCTGGCCAGTCCAAGCTGGGGATCCCCTTTGGAGGTCGTGGGGTGTTGGGCTAAATTTCTTTGAGTGACTTTCCTCTTGACTTCCTGGACCGCAGGGTGGGGGTGGGGGAAGGTGAGAAAGGCAGAAATTGCTCACGAGAACCAAAAACAAACTAAACCAATTGGTTTATTTACAGAATAAAAACCTCATTTGCTTTTTCTTTTCTCAAGTTGAAGGGCAGTGATATCGCTTACTTTTCCATCTCCTTGAGTTCCATTTTTTCCTTAATCACAACTTTGTGTCCCCACCTCATATTGCTTACAGAATTAGCACAGCAGCAGTATGAGTTGGTCACCTTCCCTACCAACCCAGACATGCGGGGCCTGGGAGATGAAAGAAAGACTTGGGACCGGGGGATTTGGAAACGTCATCCGGTGGCACAATCAGGTAGGGACTCTGTACACCTGAGAACCCGGGCCTAGAAGGGATAGGCTGAACCATCTCATCTCTTGCCCTCACTGCCTGTGCCCCCAGCTGTACTGGATGGGGGGGGTGCGGGGGAGCGGGGTTGAGGGACTCACTTTTGGCCACTGGATGTCTTAGAGGAGAGTGACCGAAGAAAGAAAAGGACTTCAGGGCCGCCAAACTAACTCTAGATTGGTGGTCTCCAAGCTTAAGTAACTGACTATATTGCCTTAAAAACTCAAAATTAATTTACTTTTGCAGCCTTGATTTATATTTTAAATTAAAAAATATAATTTTAACATTATATTAATATTAGGTTCTCAAGCAGGAATATATAGTGTAGTAATACATGACATGTTATAATACAAAATAGCGGCCTCCCTGATAGCCTACCTTAAATCTCAGCACTTCCACTATGAAGACCCATCACGATGAGCTGAGTTTGAATTCCTGGCTAGAAAGCTGACCCACATAGCACAGCAGATCTCTCCTGCCTCCCCACAAGCTCGCCTCAGCAGTGTATTTCAGTAGATTCACCTGTTCTGCTCCCCATCCTGTCTCTGGTGAATTCTCTCATCCTCAGTACCTCTGGCCTGCTCCCCAGTTCTACACAAAAATAAATCAATAAAATCTTTAAAATATATTGATCAATAAACTAGAAAAAGTTGAAGGATGAGAATAATGATTTTCTTAATGCTTTTTTTTTTTTTTAAGATTTATTTATTTACTCATACAGAACTGGGGTACAGGCCAGAGATGCGGAGGGTGAGAGGATTCACCAGGGACAGAGTGGAGAACAGAACAGGCAGATCTACAAAGTACACTGCTGAGGGGAGCAGGGGGCAGGTCAGGAGAGGTCTGCCCCACCATATGGATCTCCTCCAGAGCAGGCAGGGATCGAACTCACACGGAAGTGGCTTAAGCTTCTTAGTGCTGTGCTTTAGCCCGCTGAGCCACGAGGGAGGGTCCGATTTTCTTAATGTTTTAAAAAACATTTTAAATATTTACCAATATGATGGCTTCCTAGGATGGTTGGGAGAAAACCATATGAATGTGAGAATTATCATTAAGAGTAGTGAATAAAGCTGGAAAAGATTATGCTTAGTGAAATAAGCCAGAAAGAAAAGGAAAAATACCATATGGCTTCTCTCATAGCAGGAATATAATGGAACAGGTGAGAAAATAATGATAATGATGAACAGCTATATACCAGAGACATTTTGTGGGGGTGGAGTGGGGAATCGGATGAAAAACAGTATGGGGGAGGGAAATGCACTGGACTATGGTGATGGCACATGGGTGATTTGGTGATGGGAAACCCAAGGGGATTGTAACTGAGATGGAAAAATGCACAAAAATATGTAAAGATAAACTAATATATAAAAAGAGTAGTGAATAAAAATCCATATTTCAAATAGTGCTTATAGTTTGGGATTATTTGGATTGACTTCTTTTTAGAACTGATTAGATTCTCATTCTTTTTACTCTTTAATAAAGTGTATGACATGAGTTTCTTAAACTAGAAGAGTTTCCTGTTTGTACAGAAGTTACAGGTACTGAAATTCTCTGCAGGATCTCTTTATGCTACTCATCTACTTTATGAGAGTTATTTTACTAAAACTGAATAATGCAACCCATAATTCTACCCAAGCAGGGCGAGCACACGCAATCTGCACTCATCTCCTTAATCCCTTGTTCACCCCTGCCTGGAAACACTCATTTTCCATAGGAGACCGGTACTGAAATGTGACTTTCCGATAAATGATCGTAGGAGCATACCATATAGTTGATATCAGAACAGTTTCATTTCCTTTTAATTTTTTTTTTTTCTGTCTTGGGTAATCTGTGGGATACAGTATACAAAATTTGTAGATTACTGTTCTAAGGAAACCTCAGCCACTAAATAGCTAAAATTAGATTCATGATTCAATATTCATATCCACCAAGTTCCTTGAAAGAAGACACCTGCCTTTTTAATCAAGAGGACTGTTGAACAACTTTTTGGACTGAAGAGATGCTAACTGTGTCAGAAGGTCATTACAATGCCTGCTGTCCTTTCTCAGATTGCTGGAAGACATTGTAGGCCTCCTCTGAGGCTTGTCAGTTCTGAGGGGTGGAACAATGTGGAGCAAGAGATGATGTATAGTTCTGCCAGAGGTAAACTGCTTATATATTTCCTTCTGGGAAACTAGGATTTCAGCAAACCCTATGACTAAAATTCCTTAGAAACTTAACTGGCTTGGCCCTCCCTGGTGGCGCAGTGGGTTAAAGTACAGCACTGAGAATCTAGAGCCGTTTCCGCATGAGTTTGATTCCTGCCTGCCCTAGAGGTGACCACATGGTGTGGCAGACCTCTCCTGACCCACCCGCTGCTCCCCTCAGCAGTATACTTCATCGATCTGCCTGTTCTGTTCCCTACTCTGTCTCTGGTGAAGCCTCTCACCGCCCCTGAGCCTCTGGCCTGTACCCCAGTTCTGTATGCACAAATAAATCTTAAAAAAAAGAAAGAAACTTAACTGGCTTGAATTTGTTCTAGACATAGTGTTACTAGGCCTAACATTCCAACAGAAGAGCTAGTAGTCTTTATGTTCCCACATATGCCTGAGACAGGCTGCTTCTAGACAGGACATAGGATCTAGGGTTAATTACAGAAAATGTCTCCCTGTAGCTAAACCAGAGCCATCTTGGTTTCCTGCAAAGAGAGATCGGTACCATTTGTTGCTCAAAATAGCCTCAATCTGCTGTCTGGATTGGAAAGTTGTTGTTATGGGAAATTTGTCTCTGACTTTAAAGATAGGTAAGCGAGAGAATAAGAGAGAATTTTCTAGAACTACTATTTTTAATATCCTGTTCTGATTCAAAAATCTCAATTTGATCTTTATGTTTAAAAAGCCAAACTCCCTCATTCTCCTCTTCGAGGCCCCTTCACTCTGTGGCCTCACCCTCTCTTTCTAACATTACCTTTTCATGTTAGCTCTCGATAGGTTGATCAGCTGAGCCCTCTGTGTCAAGCCTGTCTCCCCTAGGTGGTTTTATATAAATTATACCCACTCTACCAGGATCAACTTTAGGCTATCCTTCATAAATGTGTTAAGGACTCCTTGATTCCATGGGAACTGGAGAATTTAATCTTTCATTGAATCTCTTCAGCTCTACTCATTTGGCATATGCCTCTTCTCTTGCCTTTTAGCCTGCTTATGGGAGTGTCTTGTCAAGGCTCTAAGTTCCTGGTCAGCCAGAGAGCACTGTCTGCTTCTTTTTTTTTTCTTTCAGTTTCCTTATTAAGAATAACTTTGTTAAATATTTGTGGTTTTGATGCACACAGTCATTCACTCTGTCAACCCAAAAATACTTATTGACTGTTTACTAAGGGATGGTGATTAAAATCCTCTTGGTTTTTAATAAAGACCTTTTTAGGAAAGGGAAAGAGCCTCTAATCAATAATTATAAATGTAAACTCCTCACTGTGGTAAATGTGAATGGGAGAGAGTGCAGAGACCTTATACCAGGGTGCTGGACCAATCCATTTTGGAGAGGACTTCTCCACAAATTGGTGCTTGAGTGGAGGTCTGATGGATTGGTAGAATTTGGTGGGGCAGAGAAGGTGAGAAGAGATATCCAGACAGAAGGAACAGCCTGACCAGAGCTCTGGAGAGGGGTAGGTCATGGCAAGTAGGCAGAGTTGAAAGGTGAGTATGAACAGAAGGGAGGACAAAGAGGAGACAGATGCCAGAGAGGCTGAAGTGTAGAAGGTCAGAGAAGTCCACTGAGGAAGCTTGGTTTTGACCTGAGCAGTGGGAAGCTCCATTCAAATCAGGGGCAGATTGAAGTGGGCCCAGAGAGTGGTGCTAGGAAATCACCTTTCTGAAAAAACAACAGCAAAACTCTTATCAGTAGTAAATATCAGTTTCCATAGGGTAACTACTCCTACAATGGGTTATTTCAAGCCACTGAGTTTAACAACCGTTTCTTACTAATCCCTGGCACTGGCACTAGCATGGCACTGCCCTGCTAAGGACATCCCTAGATCATCTGAGTATTCCACAGAATGCTGTTTGTTCCACAGTCAGTTTGATTCATTTTGAAGCACTAAGGGAAAAATCCTTCTTTGGAGGACAAAATACTTAAGTCCTTGTTAAACAGAGAACTCCAGGATGAGTTTCCTAGTGAGAAAGGACTCTGTACCACTAGGTACAGAGTACCAGTTTCACTGATTCTCTTGCCAACCCTGGGCCTTAACAATCCTTGCTATGTAGATAGTCCCATAAATCTTCTGCTAATGGTCAGCACAAACCAGCTATCAGTGCATGCTAGATAGGCTGGTATTTTTTTTTTTAAGATTTTATTTATTTATTTGTGCATACAGAACTGGGGTACAGGCCAGAGGCTCAGGGGCGGTGAGAGGCTTCACCAGAGACAGAATGGGGAACAGAACAGGCAGATTGACAAGTACACTGCTGAGGGGAGCAGCGGGCAAGCCAGGAGAGGTCTGCCACACCATGTGGTCACCTCCGGGGCAGGCGGGAATAGAACTCATGCGGAGCGGCTTTAGATTCTCAGTGTTGTGCTTTAACCCGCTGCGCCACCAGGGAGAGCCAAGGCTGGTATTTTCATTAAGACTTTTATTAAATACAATGGAAGGAGATAACCTAAGTGAACTCCACATAAAGCCTCTTTCAGAAATAAGAGTGAAAAAACCTCATGCCACATCAGTCAGGAGGCAGCCCTGGGCTTTCATACTGTCACTGTGACTTGGCTAGCTTCTTGGCTTTAGGCCATAACTTCCCATATGGATTTTGACCATGCTAAGGTATTAATCCCCTCAGCTCTTAGCATGTCTGTGCAGGACATGGGGCAGCCACTCTCTGGAGGTATCTGAAGACATCCTAAGGTGCTTTGCAGATGTATTTCTCTGTGCACTTTGATGATGTGACAGACTGGGAATTGTTGCCATAGGTCCCAAGGTCATACTGTTATAAAGGTATAAATGGTTAGGTGTCACTGGTTATCCCTTCTGTGAAGGCACTCACTTTTACTTGTCATGTCACTGAAGAGTCAGCTTCTATGTGACTTAAATTAAAGTTTCATGACTTTATAGTCAGTCAAATCACTGAGAATATCTCAACACTGACATAAGCTCTCTGAGAGAAACAGAAACTAAAAGGTAAACCTCTCCTAAATGGAGATAAAATGAGTACCTAGGAATACTAATATTCCTACTGGCTCCAAGTTGTGAGGAAATAATAATGGCACTATTAGTCAAGAGTGTTTTGTGCTAGCTGTACTGTGTTTTGTGTTTTGTACTGCTTACTATCTATGCTCTCTCTGAAATGCTCCGAGGAGAAGAGGCTTCCAGCGGAAATGGCAGTTGAGCAGGATTCTGAAAGGGGGTAGACCATAGACAGTCTGAGAGAAGAGAAGCCAGTTCTACCTCGAGCTAGAGAAAGGGAGCAGTGCCACTGTTGTTTACTTGGGACTCACTATGTACACGGCACTCCAGCTCATTCTGACAGCACCACAGGGGGCAGAGCCATCTCTGTCTGATAGATGAAAATCTAGATTCTTCAGTAATGGGCTCCATGTCACGCACTTACAGGTGAAGGAAAGGGAGTTGCGCCTTGGCAGGCTTTACCCCTGAGCTCCTGTGGGCGAGTTTGGTGTTCCCTGTGTCCAGTGGGTGTTTACACTGGGAGGAGAAGGCTGAAGAACTGTCTCAGTGTAGACTGGTCAGTATCATTGAGTTTGGGCATAGGTTGTTGCCAGGCCCTGGATCTTGAATCTGAGCCCTGGGTTCTGTCCATAGAATCTCTCTGGGCTCAGCTTTGCACTTCTTCTTTTAAGTATTACTATTATTTGTTAATTAACTAATTTATTTATTTTGTAGAAGAACTGTGGTGTAGGCCAGAGGTGTGGGGGGTGAGAGAATTCACCAGAAACAGAGAGGGGAGCAGAACAGGTGGATTGACTGAAATACTCTGCTGAGAGGAACAGGGGGTGAGACAGGAGAGGTCTGCTCTGCCATATGTGGGTCAGAGCCTTGGCTGGTGATCAAACTCAGGTCATAGCCGTGACAGCACTGAGACTTAACCTTAAGCCACCAGAGAAGCGCAATTTTGCACTTTTTTTGAAATTGGGAGGACAGGACCTGAGAAGGAACAAAGAGGTTATTACTAATTGTGTTTTTACCACAATGGTTTGTGGGGTGGTTGCCATGGTATCAAGAGACTAGGCATTGTAAGCTAAGGGTTTGAGCCAATTCTTGGCTTCCTATGAATTTTCCTGAGCTGTTAAAAGATGACTAGCTTTAGGAAGTTAGGCCAGCTCCTTTACAAACTGACCTTAAGGCTACCTTGTGCTAAAGCAGTCATTGCTAATTGAGTTTTATTGCTGGTGAAAAGAAAGTCCACAGATGCTCAAAACTAGCATTCATAGCCTGTTTCTGTACTTTAGTTGAGTTTTGCTTTTTAGAGCAGGTATGCTTTTAGCAACAGAAATTCATTCAGTTTGGGCTTCTGTTTCAAATGAAACTCATGGAAAACCGGGGATGTTTTAGAAGAGTTCCAAAAGGTCCAGTATGTAAGCAAAGTGTTTCTGTGCCGATTTGGGACATTCCAAGGTCTAGGAAGGTAGGATCTCTCCTGCAACCAGAAGATATAGCTGAGCTAAAGAGAAGTCAGCTTTGGTCTCTATGTCCAGTTATTCCATGACTTGTTCCTCTTGCTAAATTTTACTCTTTTTTAGTCTAAGTTGGACAGTGAGGCCAGTATGAAATCTTCACAGTCTTCAGTATCAAAATTATTCTGGATTCTAGAGTTGGCCAGGTGACAACTGTGTGTTAGGTCCAACATTTATGGTGAGCAAAAGACTGCAATTAACTATGTATAGACAGACAGTTTTAGCTAAAGTATTTTCTAAGCCACTTAATAAATCCACCTTTTGGGTCATCTATCATTTTTATGAATTAAGCATACTATTAGTGATTGGCAGAATAGTGGCCCCTCCCAAAGCTGTATATGTTCTTATCCCTTGAACATAGGTTACATGGCAAAGGGGAATTAAGGTTGCAGATAAAATTAAGGTTGCTAATTAACTGACTGTAGATGGGAAGATTTTCCTGGATTATCCATCCGCACAGATCAAGTTAACCTCAGAGTCTTTAAAAGTAGAAGATGGGGCCATCCCTGGCGGCGCAAGATGGGGCATCCCTGGTTAGGATGCAGCACTGCAAGCTAGCTCAGCCACTTCAGTGTGAGTTTGATTCCCCATCCTGGAGGTGATCCACATGGTGTGGCAGACCTCTCTTGACCCACCCGCTGCTCCCCTCAGCAGTGTACTTCGTCTATCTTCCTATTATGCTCCACCTGGTGAAACCTTTCACCGCCCCTGCACCTCTGGCTTGTACCCCAGTTCTGTGTACATAAATAAACAAATCTTAAAAAAAAACAAACAAAAAAAACAGTAAAAGAGGGAGTCAGAACAGAGAGTCAGTGCCAGAGTGTACAATGTAACACACTTAGCTAGTCATTGAGGATAGAGGAAAGGGCCATGAGCCAAGGAATGCAGGTAACCTCTAGGAGCTAGAAAGGGCAAGGGACTAGGAATAGGGAAAAAATAACCCCTAGTCCCAGCTGAGCAATGCCTGTTCTTCCATTCATGAAATCTCAATTTGAGGTATGTGTGGGTAACTAGGGTAAGATTTAGAGATGGACAAAACTTCACTGGAGAGAAAATAACATATGACCCTACAGAAAATGTCTCTGGGGTGTGTGTGCAATGAGGAAGGCAGAGTCCCCTGGAGGAGGAACCCAGTGCCTGCACATGGGGGTCAGAGGGGCAGGGCTGAGTGAGGTCTAGTCCAGCTGCAGTCAGATGCTGGGGGAGGGGCCGTGGGAAAGTAGCTGGAAAGCAGCTTTAGATGCCAGGAGCACCTGCATGATGTGGGTCTGCTCAAAAGTGTCCCTGAGCAGCAACCTGGAAGCTGCTTAGTGCCCAGCTTCACGACAGCCCTGAAAGGCGGGATTCAGAAATCCCATTCTACAGATGAAGAAACTGAGTCAGATCAAGTGGGCCACCCAAGGTAACAGAGCTAGTATATGGCTGCGGTGGAGGTTCTTTTTACTGTACTTGAAATTCCTTCTTTCCACAGACACAGAACTCTCTCAGAGAGAAACATGACAGAGAAGTGTCGCAGGAAGCATGAAAGCAATGTGGTGTCAGGTCTTAGGTCAGGCCATGTGGAAATGCCATGTGTGTAGGTAGAAAAGGTTAATATGAGCAATGCGTTGTAGTTTGGCCTAGCACAACCAGGCAGGGCTGGAGGAAGGAGCATTCTCTCAGGCAGGAATAGCCAGTAAGATTTTGTGAGGAGATGGAACTGAGTGAGGCCTTTGTGTGGAGTCTGGATGGATAGAAATGAGGAAGAAGAAAGCAAGGTGAGAGGTGGGAGTGGTGGGGACAGACTGATATAGGTGCTGCTGGATAATGGGAGCTGTCAGTGGACACCTATGTGGCCGCAGAGTTTAAGGGAGCAGTCAGGGCTTCCTATCCTTGGGAGAGCATTTTGAAAGTGACCCACAGCTCTCGCTACATGTTTGTTAATTGGTTCTGTGACGCTCTCCATGCTGCGCATTCTCTCTGCAGGAAACTGGTGAGCAGATCGCTATCAAGCAGTGCCGGCAGGAACTCAGCCCCCGGAACCGTGAGCGCTGGTGTCTGGAGATCCAGATCATGAGAAGGTGAGGGAGGACCCATCACCCCGAGCCAACAGAGCTGCAGGGTGGGGAACAGGGACCTCGGGCCAAGGGTTCAAGAAACACTGAGATGGAGTTTAGAGGGAACTCACTGAGCTTTGGAGAAACAGCCTCACCTGCTGAGTCCTTAGCCTCAGTCTCTCCATCAGACCCCAGCCAGACTCTGCAGATAGATGACTTCTAGTGCAGTGGCAGTCTGTCCCACATTGGATCTTTTGGTGAGTTTTGTTTGTTAAATGAAATAATTTAAAATAGCCATTCCAGTGAATTTTTCATTGCCAGCAAAAATCATTTTTTCCTTCTGTCTTTCCACTTCAAAAGTGGTATATGGCTCTCTGTTGCAATGAGCCTAGTGCTGATCCATGTTTCTGCAGTTGGAGACAGTGTCTGTCAGCCTGCTGGGTGGGTGCTGTCTTCCTGCTAGGAAACGGTTAGGTAAATTAGCAACCAAGTTGGTCTGGAAAATCTCAAACAGATGCTCCCTCTTCAAGCATCTTAAAAAGGAAGATGCATCACACATGTACCCACTGGAATGGCATGGTCTTGGAAGTCTTACTTCTCTGCTATGAGAAACACTTCCAAGGTACAGCAAGGACTTTATGTGGGGTCCTCTGAAGAAAATTATGTCACGCATGGTCATTCACAGAGCCCTTGATTAAATTCTGGTGCTGAAAGTGGAGTGGTGTGGTGCTGGCTGCCGGGCTCTGAGCTGCATCACCAGCCCCTGACTCCTGCTTACTCCCCAGGACTCCTGGCTGCTCCAGGCCTTCCTTGTGAGCTTTTCAGAGACTGGGGCAGAGAGGAAAATGTGTTTGAGCCAGAGTTTAGGCTCCTCCCTCACTAGTTCTTTTCCTTCCTAGACTGAACCACCCTAATGTGGTGGCCGCCCGGGATGTCCCTGAGGGGATGCAGAACCTGGCTCCCAATGACTTGCCCCTGTTGGCCATGGAGTACTGCCAAGGAGGAGATCTCCGAAGGGTGAGGCTTCCTGGGTGGCAGGGCCTACAGCCTGCCTGGGAAGGGAATGGTGGGGAGCCCTTCGCCACCTTCATCATCAGGAAGCTCAAGAAACCACAGCTGGCTTCAGTGGGTTTGCTTTTCTTTTTCGAATCCCCCTGTTCCATGCATGGTGTGTGCGGTGTGAATCAAGACACTGAATCAGAGGCTCTTACGAGAAAGTCAGGGAAGGGCTTGCTGTACATTCTACACAGGGATTATTAAATGACAAGTAAAAAGTCATCAGGTTTTGAGGACAGGGAGAGACTGGATGGGCTCCAAGACAAACTTTTGTCTCCCTTGGCATGTTAGGCCACTTCTGTCTTTCAGTTTCAGCGTCACCACTGTCCTTATTAGGAGGGCTTTCTCCCACAGATATGGCAGTACTGCTCTCAGGGTCACAGGGGAGCAGGAAGGGGCTTGGCTAAAAACACTCAGGGAACTGGGCTGGGGCTCCAGTGCACCCCTGACTCACCCCTGGGCTGGGCGTGCTGCCTTCTCACCTCATGAACTACTCTTCTCTACACTGTCTGCTTCCGGGGTTGAGGGCAGGGTGACAAGTGGCAGCCCTCCCTGGTCACAGGGACACTTGTCTACGTCCACCTTCCCAGGAGTCTCTAAAACAGTGTCGCACATCCTGCTTTTACATGTTGCTCCATTTGGTTGTCAATGACCCTGTGACGTTAGTAAAGCAAATGTGACTCTCCCATGAGGGCAGCTGACATGGCCCCCAGAGGTTAGTTAGGTGGCTTCCCAGTCCCTCCACAGTGGTAGAGTGGAGCTCAGGCTCAGCTCCTAGTACCCAGTCACCTCTGCATCATCCATCTGTAAACTGTACGAAGAAAAGACAAACTCGGAATGAAAAAGTTGTTTTTGTATTTCAGCCCATCGCTGTAGAAGGCCATGATGTTGGCGGTGAGGGGTGCAGGGCCTTCAGGCAGCACAGTCTGTATGTGAATTCCTGCAGCCAGCATCATGTGCAGCGTTCTGGCCCCACCCACCTCCTTTCTCAGAGGGGAACTTTCCATGAGAGTCGATCTGTCCCAGTGGTTCTTCCACCGTGGGAGGTGGACACATCCTGGCAGTGGCACAGCAGGATATGAGCAGTCTTTGGCATGACCCACAAGCAGAGCACTGATAACAGCTGAGAAATGGGAAGCCTGACAGCGCATTGATTTTCCTAATCTTTGACAATCCTCTGATTACTAACTGTAGTTACTTAAGGCAATAAAGCCATGTTGTAGTTGAGTTGACAGCGTGGGAAGTGAATGAGATGTGTCCAGTGGGCTCCGGAGCTGGGCAGGGGACTTTAGACTTCATCTTTTAGGTGGCACAGAGCCAGTCAGTGAGGGCAGAGAACTTCAGCATGACTGACTTGGCATGGGTGACCTGGAATGACCTGGCAGAGGGGAGCAGGATCTGGGGGAAGCAAATGCTTCCCCAGGGGCCTCTGTCCTTGCTGTTACCCAAAGGTGCAGGGCAGAGGGCACTGCTGTCCAGAGCCCTGATCTTTGTTCTCCAAATGAAGTATCCTGTTTCCCCCTCTACAAAGTTTAAAATGATACCTCCAGGCTTAGAAAGATAATCTTGGGGAGCATAAGAGCAAATGTAGAAGCCAGAAAGAGTGACACCTGGATGCCTGGCTCAGAAAACAAGCTCTTGGATATTAATGGTTAGTGAATGAGTGCCAGTTGGAAATTTTCTCTATTGTCTTCATTTAAGGCCAATTTCCAGTTGCATATTGAGCCCCTCAATACCTCGAGAGGCCCAGCGGGGCAAGGGGCAGCTGTGTGGGCTGGAAACTCAGATGGACATGGCTTCCTATTCCAGATGTGCCTGCGAGGACCATGGGGGCAGACAGATGACTGAACCCCTGCAGTCTCCGGGTCCTCACCTATGACATGGAAATTCCGGCTGTGTTTACCTCAAAGGTGGTGGGAGGATGAAGTCAGACAATGCAGGATGTGCTTTACTGGGCTAGTCCATGCCAAGTTAGCATGGTACAAGGCACAAGTAAGAGCTCATTAAATATTCCCTACATTTACCATCTCCCATTAGCAAATCCATGTGGGTGTCAGATGTCAGGGAAGCAGACAGAGGGTGGTTTTCAGGGGATGTATCCTACCGCCCCTGTGGGGTGCTCAGGTGCAGTGGACTTGTGTGTGGCTGGGCTGCCTCTAGGCTGTTTTCCTCAAAAAGGCTGCACAGGAAATCCCTCATCGTGAGGTGACTAAGATACCACTGTGGACCAAGTTACCAGTACAAGAGTTCTTGGTCCTTCTCCACTTCTTACCAATTCCTGCCAGTTATACTGCCCCAACCCAGGTACCAAAGCCCAGGTCAGGGTTTGCACTCTCACTGGTCAGACACACTTGTGGGCTCATTGGGACTTGGGGGGGGCACTCATTCTGATAACTCTTTTCACCTTCTTGACAGTACTTGAACCAGTTTGAGAACTGCTGTGGCCTGCGGGAAGGAGCCATTCTCACCTTGCTGAGTGACATTGGTAAGTTCCCTCCAGGAGAGCTGTGGTGCTCCTGGTAAGTCCTGGTGAGGCTGGTAGGACATAGAGTCCTCACCTCCTTTCAGAGTGGGCAGTTGCTGGGCTGGGTGGCGGCATAGGGAGGTCAGCGAGGGGCTAGTCAGGCAGGCGCTGAACTCAAATAGATTTCCCTTCCTTCCGGACTCAGTCATGAAGTGAACTGCCATGTACATGGAGCAGATTTCCTTTCCCATTAAAAACTCCACTCCCTACTTTCCTGGAATGGCCAGTGATGGAATAGGTTGTCATATGAATGAACTTCATTCCTTGGCAATGTATTTTTCCACTTCTGCATGGGCAGCTCTTTTACAACCTACAACCGCAGAGGGTAGGAAAAATAGCCTTGTTTAATTCTGTGGTGCCATTGGTGTCCTCAGATGAGGGTCTCGGTGCACTTCAAGGCCAGGCCGGCCTGGGGAAAAAGAGAGCCAGCTCAGCCTGCAGAGGTCAGGTGTAACCCCTCCGACCCCGGCCTGCTCTGGGAACTGTGGACACGTGCCACAGGCCAGCTCATGGCTCCTGCAAGGGACACAGATTCAGAAGTGAGACAGGGCTTACCCCAGCCTCTTTTTTTTTTTTTTTGAACTTTTAATTTTTAAAAATATATTCATTATATCATCCTTCATTTTTGTACAATGTATGATTTCCCTGTGAAATTCCCACCACCGGTTCCCCTGTGCACCATTGCCATTGTCCTTGTGCTCTTCCCACTCCTGTCCTGACTCTTCTCCCTCCTCCTCCTCCTCCCCTACTGAATGTCTCTGGTTTAGTGTTACATGGCTCCTTTTTATGTTTTAAATCTCCAGAATTGTTGGTACAAGTTGATAGCACTCTAAAATTTAGTTTTCCAATTGATTGCCAGGTATTTGTTCTCAGATTTGGGGAATGATATATTTCCAGATTTGCGCAATGATATATTTCCGTCCAACTCACACCTCAACCTACTTGAAGCTGTATATTTTTATTCTATTTGCTCTACTTTTTTTTTCTTAGAGAAACATGAAATGCTTAGAACAGATGAAGGAGTAGTACAGTGAAACTCATATGCCCTTTGTCTAGATTCCTAGTCCTTACTATCTTTCCACATGTGTAAAGTGCCTTCTCTGACTTGGCCTGGAAGGACAGGTGGGCCACAGTCTCTGAAACACCTTGCCTTGTTGGCCTGGGCTGCCTCTTCCCGCTCTGTGCTGTTTCTCATAGAAGGAAGAAAAGAAGGAATCAAGAGGAGAAATTCAAGCAATGTTATATTTAAGACTAGGATCCAAAAATCCTAGAAAACTCCCTCTCCCTCTGTACCTGGTGGCTGTGTCCTTGGGCAGAGTTCATAGTGACAGCACGTTGATGTTGCACCAGTTTGGGATTTCTTCCCATCAGCTCTATTGAGATATAATTGATATTTAATATATGTAGGCTTAAGGTATCCAGGGTGATTGAACCAGCTTTATGGGAGTGGGCACCTGCCATGGCCAGCTGTTCCTTTGTGCATTGGCCCTTGTGTGTCTACTGGAAGGGCCTTACGTCTCCTCAGAGGGTCTCATCCCTAGACCAAGAACACCCCCTGCCTTCTTGTCATCTTGCCAGTCCTCCATACTTAGCTTAGACATTTGCTTGGTTGTGTCTTTTCCCTCAATGGCCAAATTATTAATTTATCTTTTGTCAGGTTAAGGACAGGTTAATAGTTTGGGAAATAGTTTACCCTTCATGTGTATTTTTTTGTTTTTCTCTGGTTAAAGCTTCAAGCCATTTTTTATAATGTTAGTCTCTCAAATGTTTTCCATGCATTAGATTATTAAAATATACTCAATACTTGGTTATTAAGAAAGTCTTTAAATTATTTGTTGATGTACCCATTACTTTCTACTTATCATATATATTATTTTACTTCCTCAAGTAATCCTCCGATGATATTTAGTCAAATCACTCCTGGTTGTATTCTTTGAACACTTTTTATGTTCAGTTACCATTGTCTTATGTGGTAGCTTTTGTATACCTACTCCAGGTGTGTGTGTATATGTGTAAGTTATATGAAAATCAGAATAGTGAAGACAGGGAAACTTCTAAATGCTGAGGTGATGTCGTTTAACTCTCCTGCAGGTGGATGATACTAAATTCTTTAGGTTCCTGAGTCTCTTATCTTTCCTTTTTGTGATCCCAAATTGGAAATAATGAGGTTTTGAAGTACTAGTATAGTAGAATTAAATTCTTGAAGGCATTGCTTTATGTCCTTGGAACTGGATAACTTTAAATAGCAACTTCTGTGAAGATAATTGTCAAAGGAATGAAGTAAATCCCAAAGGAAATTAAAAGCAGGATCTTCTTTAGAAACAACAGCAGATGTCCACTTGTAATTTGCACTCCCAGATCAGACAGCAGCTTTTTCACACACTGGCTGTGTGGCATGAAGCATGTTTCTTAATTTATAAGATCGGTTTTACTAGCTGTGAAATGGGTACACTATGCACTTCAGCATTGTTACGAGATTAAAATGATATATAGCTCCTAGCCTAGTACTCTGCTCATGGCATTATGTGTGATCAACAAATATAATTCCTTTCTCCTCTGTATTTGATTGCTAGCATCCTTTTGAAATACCTCATTCTCCCTGGTTTGGGCAAATGACCCAAGGTTGGGATCCAGTAAGTTAGACAGTGGTTGTCTTATTAGGGCTGCCCTATCTGGAAATGACCCCCATTCCTATTTTAGTGATATTTTGAATGCAGTCACACCTCAGATTTGGCAGGTGCCAAGAGACTTGTATTTTAATTTCTTTCACATTTCTGACTTGTGTACAAGAGTCATCAAATTTATTTCTTTTGCACGAATCTTTTCACTGAGCCAGATTTCAAAATCTTTTCTTGGAACTCATCTAACATAACTCTTTTTGTATTCTAAAACATTTCCTGAGCCTATTTCATTCTAGTTTGTTCCAAGTGTTGGCCCCATCTGCCCTTTGTTGGAGTTGCCCATCAACTTCAGATAAATGACAGAGCCACACCCTTGACCTTCTGGGTTCAGATTTATTGCCTCATCTTCTAGGTTAAACCAGTTTACCCTCTGGCCTCTTTTGTGCCACTAACTACTCAGAGATGCTCACTCAGAGCAGCATCAAGATGATAGACAGGTGAGATTTTTCCAGTGAACTTTAAATTGTCTAAGAAGATACTGCAAATTACACACAAGAAAGTGAACAGGTGTCTGGCAGGCATCTGGGGAAGCCCTGTGGTTCCTACTCCAGGACAGGCTTGTCAGACCATCATTGTAAGGCTAGAAGGCCATCCAGGGACAGGTGTAGAGACAGCCAGAAATGAGCTGGACTTCTATATAATGTAACCCTAAAATAGCTTGAGGAAATTACATTTAAAGAGAATCCACTTTACACAGTGTTAATCAACATCCTTTGGGAAATACTGGACTGTGTGTTTCCTTCTGCCAGAAGGAGGCACAGACTTGAGTCTCAAGACTAAGGGCAGACTGGCATGGCCTAGGGGCCCACTTCTCTGCAACCTAAGGGGTAGGACCTGCCAGGTTCCGGTCACCTGGGAGCCAGTTATGTTAGAGCTTTGGCCTCAAGGGCTCTTGCATGTCAATCAGTCTTCTTTGACTCCCTAGGGTTGAGTCCATGATGCTGAGTGACCATACATCCTGTCCTCTGAAACCTCGGGGACCCACTCCTTGTTTTATCTGTCTTAATTCTCTGAGCTTGCATTCTCTATGTCCCCATCTCTGTCCCTACTCCCATCACCTCTTTAATGTTAAAGAGCAAAGGGAATTTCAAAGAGAACACAGGATTTTAAGGGAGGGAGAGCTCCCTTCTAGCTCTACTTAGTGTTTTTCTTACTGTGGATATACAATAAAAGATGGTGAGGGCCCTCCCTGGTGGTGCAGCGGGTTAAAGCACTGCACTAAGAAGCTTAAGCCACTTCTGCATGAGTTCAATCCCTGCCCCGAAGGTGACCACATGGGGCAGCAGACCTCTCCTGACCAGCCTGCTGCTTCCCTCAGCAGTATACTCCATCAGTCGGCTTGTTCTGCTCCCCACTCTGTCTCTGGTGAATCCTCTCACCCTCCGCATCTCTGGCCTGTACCCCAGTTCTATATGAATAAATAAATAAATCTTAAAAAAAAAAAAAAAGATGGTGAGTCAATCTCAGAAATTCAAAACACTTGTCCATAAAGTTTTGGAAAGCATAAACAGCCCGATCAATGACTACAACAGTAAGAGAGACACAGTTGACTTTCAGTACTGGCTTCTCCAACTTCCCTGGTAACCTCGGGCAAGAACATTTTTGGCCCGTTTATCTTTCCACTTCTTCATGGAAAACTGTGCTAACTTTCTAGGCCTGTGTGTCCTCAACTTAAAAAAGAGGGATTTGGGCAATGCTGTCTGAAAGGTCCCTTCTAAATGTTTATTCTGCTTTCATGATTTTCAGAATGGTTTTCCCACTGCCTCCACTGATTCACTGTCATAGCAAATCATTGTAGAAACCTCCCAGGTGACCTCCCCATCCCCATTTTACTAACCCCTCTTATGTGCTTTTGAAAGGACAATTTCATCATAGTCCATCATTAGATCAACACAAAACCTCTTAACCTTGTATTTCTCCCAATCCACTATAGCCAACATAGTATGTATAGACCTTCCTCAGCCAACAATGGGTTACGTCCTTATAATCATATAAGGTGCATATGCTTTTTTAAAGTTCCAGAATTCTAGGACAGGATCTGGACATCATCATTTTTTTTTTAAAGCTTCTCAAGCAGGTAGAATGTAGTTCCCATGGCTGAAAACCATTGCCCTTAACTATAAAATCCAGTCGCTAAGGTTAATTTTTTACTTCTTTAAAAATCCATCATTAGGTCAATGTTGAAATGAGAAATAAAGTGGAGGAGAATTTAAAGAAATATTTTAAGTGGAAAATGCATTTAATATACCTAATTTACTGTTCATGACAGCTTCACTTAGCCTTGCCTCTCTTCCACGTGTTCAGAATATGTACACTGACCTGCACCTTGACAAAATCTTGTACCTCAAAACCTATTTTAAAATGAAGTATTGAATGTCTCCTGTAACTTGAGCTGAAAGGAAAAAACCAGAATGCCCTAATACTAAATTCAAAGTACATTTCACTGAATGTATATCACTTTTGTGATCATACAGTCATAAAAAGCTAAGTCACAGGCAATTGTATCTGGCTCTCAAAACCCATTTCTCAGTATCCTGGTAGCCTTTGTCATGCTGGTCCTATAAAGGATGCTGTTCCTGGACCCTTCAACATCCTAAGCTTTAGCCATCTATGCACTGTGGGGACCACCTGACCTCTCTCTCACAGGCCGGTTCTCCCTTTCACAGGATTCCTTCCCCTAGTGCTTCTTCACTCACTTGGTCCTCTGCACCTCTGCTCTTGTTATGTGATCTCTGCCTGTTTATGATAATAAAGACAGACTTCTGGGTATAGCGCCCTTTCACCAGATCATTTGTCCAATAAGTGAAGAAGATGCTTTGCTTCTGTGGCACATTTTCTGCAATACTTACACGATAAAAGACACTTCAAGTCCTTGTGGAATAAGAGAAGAATGAGTTTGCACTTCCCTTTTAGCAGTTGTCGTAACTTCTTTGTTACTGTGCTGATTAGTCATAGGGAGTATCTTAACTAGAAATATTTAGCTGGGCCAAATCTTTCTTCATATGTCCACAATTTTTTTCGTTTGGAAAGTTCAGTGACATAGTAGGCATACAATCAATTTTTATTGAATGAATGAATATTTTGTTTACCTTTTTACTCGCTGGTAACTTAAACCACCAGTTGATGACTGGCTTTTCTTCCTAATCTTTGTCTCAGTGTATTGGTCCCCGTATCTTTCACTTCTCTCCTATGAAATGTTTCCCAAACAAAAACATTCTCAAGAAAGTCCAGTAATCCCTTCATGATGAGTGTGTAAGCATTCACACACAATCCTCTAAGTATCTTTTCTACATGGAAGTCTAGCTCCTCTTTCTATTCCCTTATTTTGATTAGGAACCTGAACATCTCAAGAGCTGTCACTTGGGATTCTGGCTCCTTCATCAAAACTCCAGGAGTGTCACAGTCTTTACTTATGCACTTGTATGTTCCTCACCTTCTGGGCCAAAAGAAAGCTGACAGTAACCTGGATGCAGTAGTGGAAGGAAGCTGCTGTGTTCTTATGCAGCTGCAGATTCAGAGTAGGTGCTGCTTACAACTCTTTTCTTGAATTAGAACATGAGAAATTAACTTGGCGGTATTTATGCTTTATGGAGTGATTTTTAATTTTTTATACATGTATATTGTCACTATTACTGGGAGTCTGATGTTTTAGAAACTTTCAAATGCATGTGTTTTTCTTAATACCAATTCTCCATCCACTTTAAATCAAATTAAATTCTCTTGGCTTGAGACAGTTTTGATTCATTTATGCCTCTGCTCTTGACATACCATTTTCTAAAGTAGATTCAAGCTAAACTAAGCTTTCTGAAAGACACTTATGAGGTCTTGCCTATCACAGCCCAAGAAACTACACACAAAAATGCCTGTAGGACTCTATAATTCCAGACCTTATTAAAAGGTCTGGGATTGACAAAAGTATTGGAGAATAAATAACTCCTGGGAAATAAGAATTAAGTTTGTCATATATAGTTGCTTAAATGTAAAAATAGACAGCTATTAATAGTCATCAGTGGATTCTGTTACTAGTCATCCATCCTCACTAAAAATCTGTTGGCAACTCTGAATCAGCGTGGCAAAGGAAATAGTGCTTTCAGACTGACTGTGTGTTCTTCTCACTGGGGGGCTTATGGAGCACCTCACCTGCTTGTGTCCCCACTTATTTGTACTGAGATGCTCACATCTATCTTCAGAGGCCTGTCTTAACTGAGCATGTGTACTGGCTCCAAATACACTGAGTCCCAGCTCTCATATATTCTACTTTTGAAGAAACTACCTCACAGTTCTGTATATTATACTCTGATACACCTGTATCTTACCAAAGTGGGTCTTTTGGTACTCAGTCAATGATAAACATTCACCTTGTTGCACAGCTGTGCTCCCTGCTAAACACTAGCTCAGTTTCAATAGTAGGACACTTCTGGAATGCAAGGTTGTACTTGTGCATTTATCAGAATATTTTACTACATTTTGCTTTTTTCCACAACTAAAATGAAAATGCTGATAAGATGCATTGGTCTTTAAGAGTTGATATAATTAAGAAGGAGATGGAGTAGGATTTTTTTGTTTTGTTTTTAAGTATTTTATTTATTTATTCATATAAGAACTGGGGTATAGACCAGAGGTGAAGGGGGCATTGAGAGACAAGAGTGGGAGCAGTATAGGCAGATCTACAGAGACAAGAGTGGGAGCAGTATAGGCAGATCTACTGAAGTACACTGCTGAGGGAAGCAGCCGGTGAGACAGGAGAGGTCTTCTGTGCCCTGTGGGTCACCTCCCTGGCTGGGCAATCAAACTCATGCCACCATGGCTGGCCACAGCTTGGTAGTGTTGAGGCTTTAAATCCTATGCCACCAGGGAAGTCCCCTGGAGTGGAATTTTTAGGCACTTATAGAAAGCAGGAAATCTCGCATGTCATTTAGAGTTTCACTGGACCTCAGCCAATCTACCATTGTTAAGGAACAAATAGGAAAAACTGGAACACCGTGGTCAAAGGCTGGATTTAAAAGGGCAGACATAATTAGAGTTTTTATAATATAATGTAATCTTGATGGAATTCATCTAATAAGATGTAAGTCCATTGTGGAGCACTCAGTTGGATGGCTGAATGTGTTTTCAGAAAATGTTCAGCATCCAAGTTTTTACACTGTGTGTCTGGCCACTTGGTTTCTGGGAGGTCTCCTCCCCTGCTCTGTACCGAGTCACTGTCCAGCTGCTGAGCTGGAATCCACCCCCTGCTTTCAGTTTGTGTGTGTGTGGTAACACTGGGAGGACTCGTTATAAAGACACTTTTGGTACTATATTGCTTTTTATCGTCTGTTATTTTTAACAACAACAACAAAACAGGTCAAACAACTTGTCAGTGCATTAATGACATCCTTCTGAGTCAGCGAGTGTCATCCTAAATGGTGCTTAAATAGTTGCTTAGGGAAACAAAAAAGTTGCCTAGTATAATGTGGATCTAGCAGAACTTGTTCAAGCATTCTCTTATTGATGACCTTCAGCTTGTTTCTAGTGATTTCACTCTAACCTATGTCATAAGCATACTTAGCATACTTATTTGTGTATTAGTATACTTTTAATTTATAAGCTAATGACCAGAGTAGGAAATAGTAGGTTTTCAAATGTAATAGATATAATTATAGTTCTTTCCCAAAAATGCACAGCACTTTTTATTCCTTCTAGTAAAGGAAGTGAGTGCTTTTAATTTCTCATCTAAAACTCTTGGCAGTTGAAGAGGTGAAAAAGTCATATCAATTGTTTCTGTCAGTTTGCACAATCTTTTGCCTAATTGTCACTTGTGTTCATTTATAAACAGGACCCTTTCCTACTATCTGGCTTTCTTATTTATTTGTAAGGACTTCTTGTCTGTTAACATATGTGTGCTTGGTATATGTGCTGCAGATTTTTCCCCAGTCTTTTTTTTTTTTTTTTACCTTTTCATTTTGTGTGCCATGTCTTTTGCTAAAGACTTAAAAAAAAAAAACTTGTTATGTAATTTGTATTGCTTTTGTTTATATCATCTACTTTTTCTTATTCAACACTAACTTTTTGTTTTGTTTTGCTAAATGTATTCCATGGAATTTTTAATTTTGTTGCTAATGAGAATGGAGTTTATTTCTTTTTCCATTTCCACTCAATGTAGCCAATAGAGAGAAAAGCTTTTGCTTTGTTTTGTTTCCTGACAACTTAATGATTTCTTTCCTGTTTTCAACCATTAGCAATCATTTCAATCAAATAAAGATAAATTTATCTCTTTGCAATATTTATTTTTCTTTTTACATAGCACAATAAGTTAGGATTTCTGTGAAAGCTATGAACCTCTCAGTTAAAATCACATCCTACCTGGACTCTGGGCTGCCGGCGGACCCCCTTGCTCTGTGCCATGAGCCCCTTGTAGCGTCATTAATCTCTTCACAGCAGAAGTTTTGGGCATCCAATCACCTCACATCCAGTGTTGTGCAGGCTTCTCTTTCCCAACCAGATTCTGAGCTCTGAAAAGTTGGGGAGCATGTTCCTTATTTTATGTCCTTTACAGAGCCTAGCAAAACAATGGACACCTTACATATGTGAACAGTCAGGTGTGTAGACTGTGCTCTGGTCTCTTTTTCCAGGGTTTACCCACTCATTCCTTGAAGCCTGCAGCTCTGACCTTATTGGACCTAGATCTCCCACCTAGAGAGGTCAGATGACCCAAAAGCACTATGCTATGCCCGGAGGGCCTTCTCCCTTACCCACCTGAAGACTAGAGATCTCTTCCTTCTCAAACTTTTGCAGCATCAGTATCAGTAGAAGAGTTTGTTAAAACACATATTTGGGATCACTCTCAAAGTTTCTGATTTAGTAGGTCTGGGGTGGTCTCTGAGAATTTGGCACTCATAACATGTTTAGATGGTTGTTGGTGTGGGCAACACAATTTGAAAACCACTGCTCTACACTGTAGTTGGTGACCTCCTGGATGCAAAGCTCTTTGTATGAGCATGCGCTTCTTGTGGAAGCGCAAGACCTGCCCAGTGTCCAGTCCCCTTCATTCCATTGAGTAGCATCTGTCCCAGGCTCCACCCCTCTGAAAGTCAGAGTATGTGTCCAGAGTGTGTGTCCAGGAAAGTCATGTTATGGGTGATTCTGAATGAAAAACTTTTAGAATTAATGAAAATTCATTCCCCTTCCTCCTCCCTCTACCTCCCAGCCTCTGCACTTAGATACCTTCATGAAAACAGAATCATCCATCGGGATCTAAAGCCAGAAAACATTGTCTTGCAGCAGGGAGAGCAAAGAGTAAGTGACCTTCCTGGATCCTGGAACATTCTGGGGACCACCCCTGGGCAGCTGCGCTGGTTGGTAGAGAAGGAACACGTTCTGCATGATTGTTTATATTTGCCTTTCCTTGAGTTGATATTTGCTTTGAATCTCTGGCAGTGCTTTTTGATTTGAAACATAATTCAGCAAAAAGTTCTTGCTAGCAGATTAGGCAAGTTTGAATGGATCTCATTGTTAATTGTCCAAGTTGCAGGAATCTGATAAGCAAAATAATGTTTGTCTTCCTACCCCCACCCTCAGGCTTTGGGAGTAACACATCTTAGAAATAGACTTTTTGTTTTTCATCTGTTGAGAGTTTCAACTTTTTTTTAAAGATTTATTTATTTATGCATACAGAACTGGGGTACAGGCCAGAGGTGGGGGGGGTTGTGAGAGGATCACCAGAGACAAAGTGGAGAGCAGAACAGGCAGCAGATCTACTGAATACACTGCTGGGAGGAGCAGCGGGCAAGACAGGAGGGGTCTGTTGTGACAGTGGGTCAGCTCCCTGACTGGGGATTGAACTTATGCTGAAGCAGCTGCTCCTGCTAAAGTGGCTGTGGCGAGCTTCGGCGTGCTGCAATTTAACCCATTGGACCACCAGGGAGGACCCAAGAGTCTGAACATTTTTATTGTTTCTATTTATTTGATAAAATTACATTGTTTCACTCTTGTTAATATTTTGACAGTACAGGATTTCGCCCCTTAGTTGTTTTTACTCTTGCTGCCCCACCAGCAAAGCACCCATAGTCCTTCACCACACTCCACTGTGCTCTTCCTCTCTCCACACTGCCCCTCCCCTTTGGGTATTTAGATCTGTGGTCAAAAAAAGAGCCTCAGCTTTTGATGCTGAAATGAAACCAGCTGTAAGTTGGTTCTGGATGTGGCTGTGGAACAGGCATGGCCTGTGAAGCCAGGTGGAAACCGAAATTTCCTCAGAGCAACTTGTGACATCCCTTCCTGCTGGGGCTTAGGGCTGTGCTCCTTCACAGCCTTGTTTGTTCAGCTGGGAGTGATGAGCTAAGTAGCAACTCGTGGGCCACCAGTGTCTTCTAATACAGCTTCGTCTGTATTGACAGTATCGTAGGCCTGACTCATGACTATCACAGCACTCACCTTTGCTCCAGTTCACGCTCCTTCTTCCACTGGCTCTCAGACTTGAGAACTGATGACATTTAGAGAGAAAAGACTGACCTGGTCTTTCAGTTCAAAAAGTCCAGGGTTAGCAATCTTGTGTATGTGGGGGTAAGGGGGCTGGTATTTTAATTTGACCTTCACAGAATAAGGAAGCTTTTGTTCAGCATTTGCACAGTGTGTTTTCTTTTGTCCCAAATCTACCACACCAAGGGCAGTCCCTCTGTTTTTGGTGGTTCTGAGCAAGTTAAGGTCTCATATCACCTGGGAGTCCAGAAGTAGCCTCTGCTGTAATGGCAGACAGTGAGAATTCTTATAGGAGGACAACATATTCTAACCCTTGGGTTTCTCCTTGTTGCTTTTTTCTTCTTTTTCAGTTAATACACAAAATTATTGACCTAGGATATGCCAAGGAACTGGATCAGGGCAGTCTCTGCACCTCCTTTGTGGGGACTCTGCAGTACCTGGTAAGAAATGGTATTTACCTGTGCTTTTCAGTTCCTTTTTGAAGTGTATGTTTATGGGGCTCCTCTCTCTCCCTGCCTTCTGGCGCCTGTCTTGCCAGCTCTTTGAAATTTTCCTAGATGTGTAGAAATTGTCATAATAATTCAAGTCAGTATTTGTTTTTTTCTTTTTCTGCAAACAGAAATCCTATGGGAATGTATGTTTACCTTCTCATGTCAGAAGAGAAGCTTGTGTGTCCTTGCACAAATCCTATCTGTTGGGCTTCAGTATTCTGTCTGAAAACAGAGAGCTTGAACTAGCTTCATTCTGCTCTGTAGAGGGCTCAGTTTTCATGAGGCATCTCACAGACCACTGAGGAGGACTCTGAGCTGTGAGCTGCCACCATGTCTTTACATTATTTGGTCTGAATTATTTGGGTTCTATTTGAGTGACTAATTCATTCCAGTGAGGGTCTACAGTCTGTGTAAGGCATTGTGCTGGGAACTGGCAATGCGATGGGAAAGAAGATAAGCATTTCCCTGGCCTTCAGGAGCTTGGAGATTAGCAAGAAAGCTGGTATTATCCTGACACACAAATAACTAAGAAATTAGAACTGTGGTGAGTGCTACCAAGGAAAAGTGCAGGGTGTCGTTGGAATAGATCTACGAGGAAGACCCAGCCTGGTCTGAGAACTGAAAGATGAGTAGATGCCATGCAAAGGGGGTAGAGGTGGGAGAAGGAAGAGGAAATTCTGGGCAAAGTGTGCTGGGAAATCAGTGAGTACACCTGGAACCCAGAGGAAAGCAAGAGTGACTTGAGTTCAAGCTGGAGAGAGGGGTGGGAAGATTGTGCAGAACCTTTTTGATTAAGTTAAAGGTTTTGGACTTCATCTTAAAACTCCTGGAGAGACACTGAAGAATTTTAATTAAAGTTGGAGAGGGACCATATTTCCTTTTTGGAAAGACCTCTCTCGATAATAGCCTGGAAATGAATTGCACAGAACAAGAGTAAATATGGTTCTATATAAATATGGCCTATGGTAAGGAGGCTCTTGTGATGGGTATTTCAGAGTCATTGGTGGCAGTGAAGGTGCAGAGAATGATTCGGTTATCTACAGCAGGAAGCTCAGGAAGACTTAGACTATTTTGGGGTGGTAATAATCAGTAAAACGTGGCATTTGATTGCATTTGTAGTTTTAAAAGCTAAACAAAGTTGAAAGCCATTAGGCTAGGTAAGTTCAATTAGCCTATCTAGTTCTAAAAAAGAAAAAAAATTGTTTAAAGTCTTTCTGAATGCAGTTATACTGCTCACATGCTTGCCCACAACTAAGCACCGGCTCCTCCTATTTGTTGCCTGCTCAATGGAGTGGGGGCTTCTAGGTGGTGACTGGTAGGGGTTGTGACTTGGGCGTCTGTGTCCATGGGGTATAATTTTGGAGGTCCTGCTGGGTTTCCTGGAACCCCCAGCAGCAGGTAAGGGGGGAGTCCCATGCTCCAACCAAAATGCTCACTCACATGTCCACTTAGAGAAGCTGCACCTTCTGTTCGTAACCAGACACAGTGGTTGACTTGATCATTCCAGATTTTTCCTCTTGGTTTGGACTCCTTGGCCCATCTATGAATGTTGCATTTTCAGCCAGACTGTGCAGATCTCTCTCCATGCCCTGGCTTGTGATGGTCCTTTTCAGAATGCGTCCTCTCAGCTACCATGTGAGGAGCCTCCTTCTGAACCCTGTGCTCTTTCAACTTGAGTTTCAAAGCTTTCTTTGGGATCCTAACTCTCTGATTGGGCAGCCATCATGCATCTGACCTGGATTTTCCTTCTCATTGTAAATCTTCCATTATTTGGCCACATGTTACTAGGTTGATAAGATTTGATCAGCACTTGATGCATGGAGTATGGTGTATTATGCAATTGGTGTATATATCCATGTTGTATGCAGCTTGTCTTCCTCTGTCTATTCAGCTCTCATGAGAAGGGGACTCAAAGTAGTCAGGCCTTCTAAGAATACCCCTGGGAGCCCTTGCATCAGCCTCAAGGGTGAATGTGGTTCAGAGAAATCCTCCTTCTCACCAGCTAAACTTGTGGTCACCTTCTCATCTCGAGTGTACATGCCAGTGATCCCGGGATGCAAGCAGGGAAGAGTGAGGACGTGGAGGGCTGTTGCTCCCTCCAGGGATGGCTCCTCACAATAAGAGCATCTCAGGTATGTCCTGGCCACATTCGTTGCAGGCCCCAGAACTGCTGGAGCAGCAGAAGTACACAGTGACTGTGGACTACTGGAGCTTCGGCACCTTGGCTTTTGAGTGCATCACAGGCTTCCGGCCGTTCCTCCCAAATTGGCAGCCTGTGCAGTGGTGAGTGAGAGTCTGGCCTGACAGAAGGAGTGTGTCCCTCCATGTCATGACCTATGTCTCCCAGGCCAGGCATGAGATATCTGTGTGTGTCTCCCCGAGAGGAAGACCTGTTGGGAGCCTGCATGTGGACACTCCAAGCTCTGAAACCTAGAACAGTAGGATCTTTAAAAACATATGCCCAATGCCTCAGCATCCTCACAATAAGTCTTTCACTGCCTGCAGAATCTGCTTCCTAGAACTGTCCCATTGATGCTGAGAGACCAGGCACCCACCTTTAAAGTGGATTTCTGTGAAATCAACCAGGGAACTGTTCTCGCAAAAAACAGTCTTTGAGAAAGGCCTGCCTTTCCAAACAAAACCTTTTTGATGCAATAAACAGCTTTTTAAATGTCTACTCGCATCTCAGATGACAGGTAGATAGTGAGTTCAGAATGAATGCAATTTGAAGTATATTTTAAGACCTAAGCAGTAAGCATTTATTTACTCTAGCCTTTTATTTTGACAGACCAAGCTTTCTATAAGGGCATCATTCTACCTATATGTAATGACAAATCTTGGCACACTTGACTCCCCAAAATCAGTTTTAGTCAGAACTGTAGACCATCAACCTCGGCCACGTGCCAGTTCCTCTAGATTCCCCTTATGTTCCAGTTGGGCCAGACCATCCTTTACCAGTGAGAACTGCCTGGAGGATAGAGCATTTTTTATTCAAATTTCCTGGTGTCAATTAGAAAGGAAATTTGAACAATCATCTGGTATGGAAAGAGCACCAGACTTTGGAATTCAGCCCCTAGCTCTGCCACTTTAATTGTGTCATCTTAAACAAATGACCTGATTTTCATTTCCTGACTGCTGACTGGGGAACTAAAAACATGAGGTTAGCATGGTCATGAGATGCATGTTCCCTATCCAAGTTACTCAAATTTAAGTGATTTTTCTTATCACCAAGAAGATTCAAAAGCAGTTGGTTTAAAAAAATGTTTTGCCTTCAAATACTCTTTCAGATGCATCAATGTGTTTTCTAAATTGGAGAATGTAACATAAACATTTCATTTATGTTAGAAATATTTAGCCACATACATTTAGAGGCAAGTGCACACGTTGTGTGTATTTCCTGTGAATATAATACACATGCAGTAATCTTGGTTTGGAACTTCTAGTTTTATCCTCTGTGAAAACATGAGTTTGTTTTAGAAAAAGTGAGGAAGTGGAGAAAAGTCAGACAAGCCAAGGATGAAATGAGAAGCCAGCAGTTCTGTCGCTGGGGCTCAGCACAAGATGTGTAACAACTGCTCACTCAGAGGAAGCCAGCCAGCCAGAGCCTTGAAGAGTCCCTCATGGGACTCAAATGCCCTGGCCATTTTTCTAAAAGTTTAAATAGTGATCTGGGGGCACCTTGTCTGGTTGGACAGTGATACGTTACACACATGTGAAATGGCTCTCCCCACTAAGCAACCATGGTCTCTAAGTAACAAGACAACCATTTGCAGGCATTCCAAAGTCCGACAGAAGAGTGAGATGGACATTGTTGTGAGTGAAGACTTGAACGGCACAGTGAAGTTTTCCAGTTCTCTGCCCTACCCCAATAATCTTAATAGGTAAGGTATAGGGGTCTTTCTCGTCTACATATTTTTCTTCCCCTTTTGTAGAGTATGTCTCAGGTAATACTTGATAGCTTTTACATAGCTTATCTGGATATCATCAAGTGACTTAGAACTGGATGTATAAATCTTAAGCTTAGAATAGATTCCTATTCCTCCTCCCCATCTAGATCCCTTTCTAAATTCACATGGCAATTTATGTCTACCTCTTATTATCCTTAGTGGCTTCTACCTTGTAATTACATTTGGCCTTTCATAAGGCCAAATGTTTCCTGGTCAATTGAGAGCTAGTTCTGGGTAGGGAGTTAAACTTATTCTCTTTGGGCACCTTATAGGGCCTAATACTAACTCATTAATCTTTGAACGGTGTTATAATTTAGTCTGCAAGCCAGAGTCTGAACAAATAAAGAATGATACCAGAATAATAGTACAAGAGAAAGATACCAGGCACAATTGAGAAGCATGGATAATTTGGATAATTACCATGAGTATTTAGAGGATGGGAAGAGAGGCTTTGTTTGCATTAGAGTGATGTGGAATGGCTGTGCCTGAGCCAGCACTTTCTGGAAAGATGTGCAAGATATGGGTAGACAAAAAGGAAAGTATTCAAAGGAGAAAGATGGAGATGAGCAGAGGCATGGTTTAGGAGGCAGTGAGTAGCTGTGTCAGCCTCAGTAAAGGATTTCATGGAGATGTGGCCACAGATGACCTCAGAAAACCTGAACTTTGTCACATGACGCCTCTGAGTGTTTTTAAGAGAGTGACTAACAAAATCAATCCAGCAGCATGGGGTCAATTGTGTGTCGGGATCTCCTGGAGGTCAGGCATGCCTCTTAAGTGCTTTTTAAAACCTTCACATGGAATACATTCAGCTGTTTAAAAAAAAGTGAAATCTTCCACTTGCAACAACATGCATGAACCTAGAGGGTATTATGCTTAATGAAAAAGTGAAATGATTCAGGGGAAAGACAAAAAACTATGATTTCATCCACATGCTAGATAGAGAAAACAAGTAAACAGGTGAACTAAATAAAAGAAAAATAAACTTAAATCCTAACAGCAATTAATGGTTGCCAGAAGGGAAGAGAGAAGTAGGTAAATCCAGGGGAAAGAGGATCAATTATGTGAAGGATAGATTTGGACTTTTAATGATGAGCTTAAGGTAGTATATACAGCATTGATTTATAAATGATACACACTAAAGTCATCATGCAGTGTTACTTAATTAGAAGAAGGAACTACTATACAGTGGTGCAGGGGTTAAAATCTCAGCTCTATCAAGCTATTGCCAGCCACATGATCTACTTACAATAACTATAAAACTATAAAAAAATTTCATAGATCAGCCTGCTGGAGATCAATCTACTGACCCACCTGTTATGAAATCCCTGACTTGTAGATCAGGAGAGTCGATAAGCACATGAATGATAAGTTGTTAGGTTGGAAGTCCTTTTTCCTCTCAAATTGGCATCCTGTTGGCTGCCAGTGTTAAGGTATGCTATTTACTGCGCACCACCACGGACGGTGGTGGAAATGTGTGCTACCCTGTGCTTTTCTTCACAGTGTCCTGGCACAACGACTTGAGAAATGGCTGCAGCTGATGCTGATGTGGCACCCCCGACAGAGGGGCACTGACCCTGGGTATGGGCCCAATGGCTGCTTCAAGGCCCTGGATGACATCTTAAATTTAAAGGTGAGTCAGATCTATGTCAGGCCTGAGGCAACAGGTCAGGTTCTTATCGGGACAAGAAATGCTGATTAAAAGAACAGGCAGAGGCTCTCCCTGGTGGCGCAATGGGTTAAAGCACCACATTAAGAAGCTCTCAGAAGCCACTGCAGTACAAGTTTGATCCGCCACCAGGGAGCTGACCCACATGGTGTGGCAGACCTCTCCTGACCTGTCCGCTGCTCCCCTCAGCAGTATACTTCAGTCCATCTACCTGTTCTACTCCCCAGTCTGTCTCTGGTGAAACCTCTCACCCACTACACCTCTGGCATGTACCCCAGTTCTGTAAGCATAAATAAATAAAACTTGAAGGGGAAAAAAAAAAAAACGAGCAGCACCCCCAGATCTGAAGGGGAATTCAGATTCCTGTGTAGCGTCTCTACAAGAGGAAGACAGTAGCGCCACTGTGCTCACTGATGACTGGTAAGGTAGCAATGGACAAACAAGAATAGTAAAGACTGGAATATATGAGCCATGCTATGGGGGCTCCTTCCTCAAACTCGGCCCTTGCTACATATGACTGGGAAGTGCTGGAGCAGCACACAAACAGGTGGTCATCTCTCAAAAGGTGGATTTTTTTCCCCCAATAATATTTGGGTTGTGTTGCAGCTGGTTCATATCTTGAATATGGTCACTGGCACCATTCATACCTACCCAGTGACTGAGGACGAGAGTCTGCAGAGCTTAAAGGCCAGGATCCAGGAGGACACCGGGATCCCTGAGGAGGACCAGGAGTTATTGCAGGAAGCTGGACTGGCTCTGATCCCTGACAAGCCGGCCATACAGTGCATCTCCGATGGCAAGGTAGCCCCTCCACCGAATCCTACTTTACCCTGAAAACTTTGCTGCAAGGCAACTGAGCATGCTTTCAGATTTCACCTCAACCTTGTCAAGCTATCCATCAATCCCCCTGTGCAGCGACCTACCTGTTTTTTAAGTTGGAATACCAGGTTCTGAATGTGGCTTCACAGGGACACCAGTTACTTCACACCAGACTGTTGCTTCCAGACCACTTAAAGTGCCTCTTTTGCCTTTGCTGCCACAGTGATGTTTTCATTTTCCAATCCCATCAAAAATAAGTATGATGTACCTGTTGTGTACAGAACTGTGCTGACCACTGCAGCAATGCGCGGGTCCCTGGCAAAAAGATCAGATAAAGTTGGGAGCAATCAGTGGTTAGGCAAGGAGATAGTAAGCGTCTAGACTGAACAATAAGGACAATCAAAGAAAAAATGAGAGTGTAGTAAGTTGTGACTAAGGTGTCCATTGGGATAGTGAATGTAAAAAGAAGAGGGAAGGGAAGAGTCTTCATGAACCCTAGGTGTTTGCAAGCTCAAGGTGTTGCCAGCAGTGAGCAGTAGAAACCTTTGTGATCTTTTCATTCTGAAAAGGAGGATTTAGAGCCATGAGATGGCCTTTGTTCTTTGTCACTGCAGCTAAATGAGGGCCGCACGTTGGATATGGATCTCGTTTTTCTCTTTGACAACAGTAAGATAACATACGAGACTCAAATCTCCCCACGACCCCAACCTGAAAGCGTCAGCTGTATCCGTAAGAACATCATTTGTTTTTGTTTTTTGAAAAATCATTTATAATGCTTGGGACAAGACAAGAGGTAGAAATGCAGACTGGAGAGAGATCACACTGAGGAGATCAGCTTACCCTGTCCTGGGCACTGTCTTTTACTTGGGACATGTACAGAAGAGCCTGGCCGGAAAAGAGTAGAGATTTCTGTTCATTTCAGCCTCATACATAGAACTTTTAACAGAAGTCATATGGTTTAAAGTTGAGTCAGGATTTTATTTAAATTATCCTTATTTAATTGATTGTTTATTTGTTCATTAATACTTGTACATAATTCCAAAAAAATCAGAAGGTACTAAAGAAAATACAGTGAAAAGAATGTCGCCCTCTTGCTCCAGTTACCTAGCTTCGCCCAGGAAAACTGCTGCTCTTAAGTTCATGGCTCATCTTTGCAGAGGTGTCTTAGGCATTTATAAGATGTATTTCTAATATATGAACATAATTACATAGTCATCTTTTCCCCTCAGACATATGGTGGCACACAATGTAGACTATTCAAAACCTGTCTTTTTCACTTAATTTATTTGGGAGGTTCCCCCCTGTTGATACAAATAGACCTGCCTATGTTTAATGGCTGTTTAGTCCTGTTCTGTGGGAATGTCAGATGGACGTTTAAGGTGTTTCCCACTTCTCTTCATTCACACACACGTAGAATAAACATACCAAGAATGCAGCTGTCCCTGCTGCAGCTGGTTGCAGTCCTCCTTGGTATGTTTATTGCTCCTTTAATCGTCTTCCAGTCCCGCCATGAAGCTGTATCTTCAGAAAACCTCTTATCACCTTACATGTTGGGAACCTGAGTTCCTGTTGAAAATATGGATGCTTGTATACATGTGAGCGTATCAATATGGTTCAGAGTGTTCCTTCAAGTCAATAACTATTTACTGAATAGTACCTGCTTGTGCTGTAATAGGGTACAAAAAATGTATGAGGCTATAACCAGGCAGAACACCCAAGAGTTATGTTATTAGCATCTTAGTTACATAACTCTTAAAAACATGAAAGTGCCAGTGTGGTAGGAAAGCTGGATGTGGTTAATCAGAGGGAAGCTATTCTCTGACAATTACTGCGTGTGTCTCCGTTATAGTTCAAGAGCCCAAGAGGAACCTCCCTTTCTTCCAGCTGAGGAGAGTGTGGGGCCAGGTCTGGCACAGCATCCAGACCCTGAAGGAGGACTGCAACCGGCTGCAGCAGGGACAGCGAGCTGCCATGTATTGTGCCAGGCATTTTGGGACTGAGTTTAAATTGCTTAGTGGCTTTTGCTACAGGGAGGTGGTGGTGGCAAAGTTCCAGAAGCAATAATTAGGAGGGACAAGAGGGAGACACTGGTTTGGCTGGCGGGACATGGTTGGCTGGGCAGGGAGGCCCTTTTAGGCCTGGTGAGGTGAGTGAGGTTAGCACGTGGAGCAGGCGTGTAAACCAAGGGTGGGGCCGGCCTGTCCAAGGGCAGATATGTGGAGCTTGGAGACATGCACTGCAGTTTGAGTTAGCAGGGTTGCCCAGCTTGTCATGGGCTGACTGGGATGTGACTGGTTGAGGTGACTGTGGAGGTCTTTGCCTAATTCCAATTTTGGTGCAAAACCTCATACATTGCTTAGGGCTAGGAAATTGCCCTTATGTTTATACATGAATACTCCCAATAATAATTATAGCAGGGACCTGCCTGGGTGTTTGAGGAAGTTTTATTATTGTACAGGGAATGCTATTTGGATCCCAAAGATGCCCCAAGGTTGTGTTTCTTGTGGTCTCTGCAGGATGAATCTCCTCCGGAATAACAGCTGCCTCTCCAAAATGAAGAATTCCATGGCTTCCATGTCTCAGCAGCTCAAGGCCAAGTTGGATTTCTTTAAAACCAGTATCCAGATTGATCTGGAGAAGTACAGTGAGCAAACTGAGTTTGGGATCAGTGAGTGTACTCTTTGCAATGAGTTCTGAGACCATTCCATTTTATTTTTTGCTTCCTTTAGGTTTCTTTTGCCCTCTTTTAATTGAGTTTTGTTTTGTGGTGTTTTCATTTGTATTTCTCCCCTCCCCACCCCCTATTTTTTTTTTTTCCAGCATCAGATAAACTGCTGCTAGCCTGGAGGGAAATGGAGCAGGTTGTGGAACTCTGTGGGCGGGTAGGAGACTCATTTTAGGCTTCTCTCCTTGTCAAGAGGGATGAGGCTTTTTACTACCAATTTCCCCTTTCTCATTGAACACTTTGAGCTCTTGTATGTCAGAAATCAAGTTTTCCTCCTCCTGGCCTTCAACACAGCTAGAACTTGGCTGGATAGAGACTAGGAGAATCACCAATAAGGAGCCTGTTGTAGCAGATCTGGGAGCTCACAATAGAGCTGGTAGAGGTTTGAGTAAGAAGTGAGATGGATGTATCCCAGCAGAGGAGAGGGGAGCCTAGACCTCTTCCTATTCGTCATTCCTAGGACGAGTGATCAAAATGCCACCTTCTCAAAGCTTTCTGGCTAATCTTATAGGAACACTAAATCCATATGAAAGAAAAATCCTAAGCAGAAAGTCTTAGGATGTGTTAATAAAATGCCAATAAAAAATGTTAATGATGAAGGCAAGACAGGGCAAGGAAGTGTGATGAATCTCACACAAAAATTGGAGACCTTGAATTCTGGGGCTTTTTTTCCTGGTCTTTTCCAGTTTTCCCCAGTGAATTTGGGCAAGGACTTTGACCACTGTGTCTTTGTCTCTTTGTGTAAATCAATACTGATATGCATTCTTAAAGGTGGATACTACTGATGACATAAACAATACCTATTTAACATAACTACAGGTGATAGTGTTCCTTCCCCATCCTGGCAGTCAAACATAAGATGTCATCAGAATGGATAAAGTGGGGGTGGGGGGTGGCGGGGAAGGCCTGTGATTTGAGCACCTGTGTGCCAGGTGTTTTATATACTTGAACTTCTACATGGCCCATGTAGTGGCCCACGTAGAAGCTTGTGTTACATGAAGGAAGCTGTAACCTAAGGGTCAGGTAACTTGCCCAAGGGTCACACAGCTGGGAAGTGTACACCTGAGCCCCAACCCAGGTCCTTCTGACTCCAAAGTCTATATCCTTCTTACCAGTCACTTGATAGTCTGCCATGGGTTTAGAGGGTTCCCCCCAAAACTTGCATCTCAGAATGCTCTTATGTCAGTTGACATTAGCACAGCTCTTTCATCAGGAGAACGAAGTGAAACATCTGGTGGAACGGATGATGGCCCTGCAGACAGACATTGTGGACTTGCAGAGGAGCCCAATGGGGCGGAAGCAGGGGGGGACGCTGGATGACCTGTGAGTACCAACTGGGTAGGGTTCTCACACTGCCCCCAGAACACACAGACACTCCAAGCAGAGTTTGCACATGTGTGTTGGAACCAACAAAGGGTCCACATGAGGGTCTATAGAAGCTCTGTGAGATCATTCTACTGCCCCACCCTGGTGAGCCATCTTGGGATTTCAAAGATGAGCAAGGGCAGATCACCATTGCTATGAGCCCTAGCTTTTCTGAGCAGTGGCAGTAAAAACTCTAACTTCACAGAGTTGTGAGGTCAGTTCAGAGGACACATTTGAGCTGCAATTGATAAGCCCTGGCCTAGGCATGGCTCCTGGAGCAGAATGTAGAGCAGAGGAAGGTCCTATTTTGGAAACTTGGGTTGGAAGTTATGGAAGCCACACTGAGGGAATTCAGGCAGGAGTGGCAACTCCTGCCTTAAGACTCTCACTCATTAAACCTCAGAGATGTTTGAGTTCTAAGAATGAGGATGATTGTTGCCTCATTATAGGCACCACCTATAATAACACCAACAATAATAATTTTCACCTGTCACGATACATTGCCAGTCTTGCTTCTAGAAATCAGTGATTCTGCTGGCAGGAATTAGCTCATCCCTGGTTCAGATGTACTTATTTGAGTTCCATTGTAGACAGAGCTGCTTCTTTGTGTATTTCAGAGAGGAGCAAGCAAGGGAGCTTTACAGAAAACTAAGGGAAAAACCCAGAGGTAAGTGGGGTTTTCCATGTCACCGCATTTTGGAGGTATTGGTACTCTCTACCAGTCGCCTGGAAGAACCATGTCATTTCTTTCCTCTTTCTAGACCAACGAAATGAAGGTGACAGTCAGGAAATGGTCAGATTGTTACTTCAGGCAATCCAAGGCTTTGAGAAGAAAGTACGAGTAATTTATACCCAGCTCAGGTATAAACCCCAACATTCTTCCTTGAGGATGGAGGGTGGAGTGTGGAGAAGCACCGAGGAGGCTGCCTGTGAGCCCATTTCCTCACCCTGTGCTGATGTGATTACCTGAGGAAGCTCTACTCCCTGCATAATTGCCAGGGATTATGTTCTCCCACTTTATCCACTGGAGTTGGATGTGTTTATTCTTTGCAGTAAAACTGTGGTTTGCAAGCAGAAAGCTCTGGAATTGTTGCCCAAGGTGGAAGAGGTAGTGAGTTTAATGAATGAAGATGAGAAGACAGTGGTTCGGCTTCAGGAGAAGCGACAAAAGGAGCTTTGGAATCTCCTGAAGATCGCTTGTGTGAGTGAGCCCCTGGCCAGCCCCACCATCCTGGGTGCCTGCCTCTCTGGATTTTTCCACTCTGTGTCGCCACCCTCCACAGGACCATGCAGAGCTGCCTACAAACCACTCAGCTGCTGCAGTCTGGCTTTCCTTTACCTTCTTTATGACTTAGCGTGAGCAGGGAGATAAGAAGGGCCAAACCCATTGTTTTATGTTTCCTATGGCTACTGTAATAACTTACCACAAAGTAATTTATTCTCTCTCAGTTTGGAGGTATTGAGAGGGATCTCTCTAAGGCTCCAGGGGAGAGTTATTTTTTCCTCTTTCTGTTTATGGACCCCAGGTACAATCCCTGCCTCTGTGCTCACATAACCTCTGGGGCTCTCTTCTGGGTGTCTCTTACAAGAACACTTGTCATTGAATTTAGCTGTCATTCCAGTGGTCTAGAATAGTCTCATCTTGAGATCCTTAACTATATCTGCTAGATCCTTTTTCCTAAGAGATTCACATTCTAGGTTCCTGGAGTTAGAACCTGGACTAACCTTTTGGGAGCCTGTATTCAACCATTGTAAGCAAGTCAGTCAGGAGGGGTTCACCCTCATCTGTATCTGCTGCTTAGCTTATAATCTATACTTTCTGTGCCCGCTGTGACTCCACTAAGTGTTGCTCAGGGAGAAAATATAACAAACACAAGCACAGAAAAAGAACCAAATACAGAAAAAGAAAATCCAGATAAAAACCATGCCATGGAAATCAGAGGTGAGAGTGGAATGACTCTTACTGTGAAGGCTGCAGGAAAGTCCAAGAGAATGAAAAGAAAGCAGTTTAGCCCTTAAGAGCAATGAGGAGATGGGAAGACAAGTAGGATGTGAGAATGGAGTTTTTATAAGCCATGGAGGCTGGCTCAGACTTGCAGACCACGTCTCAGAAGACCACGTCTCAGGGAAGGCACAATATCAAAGGGTAGAGGCTTTTCATCTCGAGTCAGAGGACAAGGGAAAGGTCAGTATCTTGAGCAGAGTGGCAGGACTTGCCCTACAAGACAGTGAATGACATTTCCTCTTCTAAGTAAGGAGGGAAAGGAAACAGGAGAGATGATGAGGCCAAGAAGACTTGAGAAGGAGCAGGAAGGTAAGGTATTCACAAGCGATTGTCTGACTGGCCTTCTCATTCATTCAACATCCATTAAGTGAACACCCAGCAGTATGATGAAAACTGGAGACAAGGGGGTCAAAAAGCATGGCGTATGACCTAAAGTGCTCAGAATCTGATGAGGGGCCTTAGGCAGGAGTAAACAACAACCATTTAGGATGGACAGTGCCAATGAACTGTACTCCATGCCCCGTGGGAAGGACAAGCTGTAGCATGAAGCAGAAGTCACCAGCCTCAGTTTAAGAGGTGAGGGCTGTACAGGAAATGTCCACAGGACATACGTTTTTAATTTGGATGACTAAGGGATAAGTAGGTGGCTAGGTAGAGCTGAGGACTTTCCAGGACATTGTTTTATCAAAGGCAGGGAGGTCTGAAAGAATGTGGTGTGTTCTGGGGGCTGTGGGCAAGCAGGGTGGTGTTGGGGAAAGGGTATAATTGGGAATGAATTGGCAAGGTGGGCAATGGCTAGCTTACACAGGCCACACTGCTTGAAAGGCATAGAGGAAATAGCAGGGTTGGTTTTTCATACTCATATTGAAGACCTTTGAGTTTTGGAGAAGTTACTCTGATGGTAGCTAGAGAATTAATTTGTGACTTTGGCAAACCTCACTACCAAGTGTGATGGCTACTTGGTGGGACTGAAGTTGGGTAGTGCCTGTCCAGGTAGTAGGATTGGGAGCCAGCTAGCATGGGAAAGATCTACTGCCATGTTCTCGGGCACAAGCATAAGTGGGGAAGTGGGGCTGGCTGGGTGTCCATGGGTCATGACAGCATAGAAGATCATCAGAAGGACAAAAACGGGGTGCAGCATTTGTGGGAATGGCTGACCGAACCTTCACAGTCACCAGGCTGGGAGGCAGTGGGGCCAGGATGAGGCCCACCATTGGGGGACTGTGGGGGATTGCCCACCTTGCATTGTCCACAGGCTGCAGTAGGAGCAAGGATTGGGTTGCTGAGACACCCCAGACCAACAGACGAGACTGATTAAAAATCTGGGGGCATAAAAGGAGAGTTTGAGGGACTAAGAGCAGTCTGTGGGTCCCAGCAGTGGGCTCCATGTGAGGAGGCACAAGTAATTGAGCCTGTGGCTGAACAGCTTGGTTTTGGGGTGTAGCGGCTGCAGCAGCCCAGGAGTCAGAACATCTCTGTTGTCTTCTCAGTTGTCTCACATAGGGTACAATTCACAAAAAGTTATTTGGAACCTTGTGTGTCTCAGTCTTCCATTTAGAAGAGTAAAAACACCTCCTCACTGTAGATGACTGGATTAGAAAGATGTGGTACATATATACAATGGAATATTACTCAGCAACCAAAAAAGAGAAACACATGTCTTTTGCAGCAACTTGGATGGAGCTGGAAAAGATCATGCTTAGTGAGATAAGCCAGAAAGAGAAAGAAAAATACCGGATGGTTTCACTCATAGCAGGAGTATAATGGACTAGGCAAGAAAATAACAAAAATAATGAACAACCATAGACCAGAGACATTCTGTGGGGGTGGAGTGGGGAATGGGATCAAAAACGGGGGGGGGGGAAGGGAGGGAAATGCACGGGACTATGGTGGTGGCACAGGGGTGATTTGGTGATGGGAAACCCGTGGGGATTACAATTGAGATGAAAAAAAAAATGTGCAAAATGATGTAAAAATAAACTTTTTAATAAAAAAAAAAACACCTCCTCACTTTCTTTTAAGAGTTCATGAAACAAACTAATGAAACAATACCTACTATTATAGGTGCTGAAATCTCCCTTTACACCTATAGGTCCAGAAACATTTTCTGCACTGAAAAGCTCTCGGATGTTGTCACAAAGAGAGATGTTGACCAATGTTCTCTAAGAAGAGCTGGTATCTTAGGGCAAATTGTTCCTGAGAAACTACCATGGTGTGACTGCAAAATTTGAGTCACATTTGTGCTCTGTAATTTCCTTGATTTTCTTCATTGGTGTTGTCCCACAGAGCAAGGTCCGTGGTCCCGTCAGTGGAAGCCCAGACAGCATGAACGCTTCTCGCCTTAGTAACTCCAGTCAGCTGATGCCTCAACCTCCCACGGCCCCTGACAGCTTACCTGAGTCAGTCAAGAAAAGGTATGTCATTCTGAACAGTGCCAAGGGCATGCCAGGAGGTTGTGTTTATCATATCAGCAGACCATTTCATCTGTCTCACGATTTTGTGGGTGTTTCTCTTTGTGTTGCTTACCTATGCTAGCACTGTGGGAACAGGTGTGATATTGCACCCTCACAGTCAACCTCGTAACTTGCTGTCTAGAGTCTAATTGCTTGGTGAGAATATTGAAAGTGCTAGGCAGTGCATGCCATCGCACAGCCCACCAGATTTCCTGCAGGGAGGGAATTCCCTGTGCCTCCCCTTGCCCCTCTTCCTCCCTCACCACCACTTTGGGCACCTAAGTTCCCTTTTCCTCCCTTTGTTTCATATCCCCTGTCCATGTCTTCCTCTCCCTTTTGTCGCTTGGACCACATTCCACAGGTGGGGAGCAGAACACTCCTGTCCTTTCTGGCCAGGCTTCTTGCCTCCTTGCCTCCAATCTGGTACCCAAGCTCTCTTTGTTCGAGTCTTCACAGAATTCATTTGATGAAACTATGCTTTGATCACTAACTCATCTTGGCTTCCCACTCCCTAGAGGATTACCGAGCCCTTTAAGGCATGGGCAGCCTCTCAGTGTGTCTCAGGGCTGGCCCACCATCCCGTGCAATCTCCTTGCTCCAGCCCAGGGGTTTAAAGTCCTTCACGCACCAGCAGCAGCACTGTATCCAAGTTTTTGTGAGACACAGACCCTGCAGCAAGCAGACATGAGTGGGCACAGCAGCTCGTGATGATTACAAGCCTTGGCTGACGCTGGTGCACTCAGAAGTGTAAGAAGCTCAGTCCAGCTCAGCCCTTCCCTGACAGTCCTCTCAGTACGGGCACATCTGCTTTCCCTGCCTCCAAGACCTGACCATACACATACACAGCCTTCACTCTCTTCTTGGACCACCTTTTTGTTTCAGCTCCATTCCATTCAGCATTTATACAGCACCTTCTAGATGCCAGGTCCTAAAACCTGAAGGCAAATCTATAGACATCGAGACTAGATTAATGATTGCTGTGGGTAGGTGGGAGAGGGAACAGACACTGACTGATAATGGTACAGAACATTTTTGGGAGTGATAAAAACTAGATTATTGTGAAGGCTGCACAGTTCTGTCAATATACTAAAGTACTGAATATACTCTTGATATGAGTGAATGTTTATGGAGTGTAAATTTCTCTGAATAATGCTGTTTTTCAGAATCTTATTCCTGTCCTTTGGAGGTTTATAGTAGAAGTGATGTGAGAAAAGGACTGGTGATTTATTATATTTTCCCTTTTCTCAACTGTGCATTTCTTATCAAAGAAAAGAGAGCAAATTTAATGAAATAACTTTACAGAATTTAACTTTTCTGCTGGTCTCAAGGAACTGTGGAACTTGGAAATTGCTTAGTCTGTATATTTGTTTGCATTTCAAAAATTGTAAAATAGGTGATTTGGGTGGTATTTAGATTTTGGCAGTTTGGAGATAACTAAATTCAGCTATCTCATTATGTCAGAAAGAGTTCTTTTTATTGCCAACTCTCTTACTAAACAGGGACCTGTTTGCCTTTTCAGATTCTAACAGTGATGCTGATGGTTGATTATAGTTTGGGTTGCTGAAAAGTGCTTACTGACATGAATGCGTTAGGACACTTGCACATCAAAATAATTGCAATCTAATTTTTAAAGTCCTCTCAAAAGCTCTTCAGCACATTTCAAACAACAGTATTATCTCTGAAAAAGTAATGATCACTTTCTAACCATTCGATCATTTTCTTTAGTGAAGAACTGGTGGCCGAAGCACAAACTCTCTGTGCTCAGCTTGAAAATGCAATTCAAGACACCATGAAAGAACAGGACCAGAGTTTAAAGGTAATGGCCTGTGTGAATTAGAGTTGTTTCATGTCCTTTCTTTCTATAGAAAAAGAGAAAAAGAAAATAGAAAAGCAACCCAGCATTTCCTCCACCTTAGTATACATTTGTGATTTCTTAGTACATATTTATTATTCTCCATTATAATAATGATACCAGCAGTTAGTGAATGCTTAAATGTACTTTATGTGCATTATCTCATTAATCCTTTCAGTACTTCATTCTGATGACGCCTTTCTGTCCTTCTGCAATTGTGTATGCAGGACAGGAGGTTCTGTTCTGACTCTGGGGATATAGCAAGCACTTGTCACAACCCTGCCTAGTAGGGACTGGATCTGAGCAGTAAGAAGTCCTAGCTATAGGATTACTGACCTCAAGCAAAACAAGTCAAGATGTAGGGTTAAGACAAAGATATTAAGACATGAAAACAAAACTTAAGTTACTGATAGGACCCTATCATAAACCTTTCCCTTAAGCCTTTAAATCAATCAATTGCTGGCCTTCCCTGAATCTCTCAGATTATAGAAATATTAAAGCATGTCCCTGCTAATTGTTATCATCTCTTATTTATTCAGGTATCCGTCTCTAATTTGGTATTTTCTAGATCTTTCATTCTGCTTTTCCTACTCCTGATGCAGTATGTTTTGATCCTTTCCCTGCTTATTTGCACTTTACCAAAGGAAAAAAGAATTCTCATCTGGTGATTCCACCTGGAATCACTAGCTGAGATTAGCTGTTAGTACACTTACTTTTACTTACAAGGTGAAAGTAAGTGCCGTGAGCCACAAGGAATAATAAATTGCCTTTGTAGCGTCCAGAGTCATAGAAGCTCTGGGACTTTAAACCAGTCCAAAGATGAGACCCCATCCAATTCTGAATATGTGGCTGGTGCTCCTGGGTACTCTACAATAATAAGACTGTTATTAATTCAGGGATGTAAGTTGACTTGTAAGTTGTGTGGTTGTCTGCTAGAAAAGAAACAACATTAGGTGTACTGGTGGCTGCTGTATTTTAACATGCCTGTTGACTTTCAGTCTCTAGACTGGAGCTGGTTACAGACGGAGGAGAAAGAGCAGAACAGCCTGGAGCAGGCCCCATGACTGTGGGTGACCCTGACCCCTGGTGGGACTGCCAGCCCCAGCTCTCCACAGAGACCTGCCATAAGGATGTCCCCATGGTCATCAGCACAAAGGCGGAGATCTTCTCACTTCCCCAGCAGCTGTAACAGCGCCATGCATCTGGGGCATGGCCCTATGTGGCCACCATCTGTCTGAACACTGGAAGTCCTGCACCTCAGAGGCTCAGCAAATGTTGATATCAGGCATAAGCATTTAGGGGTGACCAAGCCAGAGCGGCTACTTTCTCTGCTCTAAAAAAGACTCAAGGTACGGTTTGCCCCACAGACTACTATGCAAATCTCTAAAGTGACTCTGACAGGACAAAGCCTGGGTGGCACTTGGTGCCTGCCTGTCCTCTCCTGACCCCCAGAGGCCCTGATCTACCTGTCCTCACAGTGTTTGATCTGGATCTGGCTTCTCTAAAACAGACTTTTAAATCAGACAGTGTCTGGTCTATTCTCTCTCTTCCTCTTTTCATTTTACTGCTGCTAAAATTTTTCTTTTACCTACAACTTTGATGGTTATCCTCCTTTTGGCAAGACGGTAGATGAATCTGAAGCTCCCCTTGTCTAGTCCTTTCAGCCATAGGTGATTCATCAGCCAGGATGGAAGTGTAACTTCTCTTCCATCTTTTATCCTACCAAAGACTACGTGGGCTGAGTTATCATGGAGGAGAGAAGAAAAGTTTGTCTGTCAACCACTCCCTGCTGACCACTGTGCCCTCGCCTCCTGTCCTTGCTGGGACGCATCTGTGGGGGGTGGTGAGGTGGGAGGAGTTCCTGCCTCTCATATCATCTAGCAGTGTTATTAAATTGATTTATTTTAAAGATGGTTGCTATGTTTTGTTTGTTGGTTGTTCTTCAAAATTATTTATTTATTTATGCATATAAGAACTAGGATGTAGGCCAGAGGTGTGGGAGTGAGAGGATCGCCAGAGACAAGAGTGAGGAGAACAGGCAGATGTACTAAGATACACCACTGAAAGGGGCAGTAGCGGTCTGCTGTGCCACGTGGGTCACCTCCCTGGCCACCTCCCTGGCTGGGTATTGAACTCATGCTGCAGTGGCTGGCTAGCTTCTCTGATCAATGTCTACAGTTCCTATAGTTAGGACTTGTTATCTTTCTAGAAGCTGAAGTCCTACCTTGAGAGTTTTCATTTTTTCAATTAGCCTATTGCAGTGATAGCAACCTTTTCAAACCATTACTTTGGTGATGTCTTCTTCTGCTCAAAATTTTTCAGTGAGTCTAAACTGCTTTTAGCTTCTAGAAAGATGAAATAGATGGACTTTTCCCTCTTCTTCCTTCTAAGCACAACTAACTCCTTGAATATTACTTATAAACAGATAAGTACTGCTGAAAGATAGCAAGAAAGCAGATCAGCAGTAACCTGAGGAATGACATTGTGCTAAGCTCTCTGGGTTTTCCTTCCCTATACTGGGGGCTGAAGAAGTCAACAAACAGAGACAGACAGAAAGACTGCTCTTCCTCTAGCTATATTGTATTCCTAGAACTACTTTCAGTCCCATAGAATACATGGTTTAAAAGAAAAGACATTCTTTCTGGTCTCCAAAACAGTCTCTAATGTGTCAGCAGGATTGTGCTTGATCCAGAGTCTCATGGGGAGATGCTGTTCTTCCCTTGCAGCTTCTGGTGACTCCAGGCAACCGGTGTCGTGTAGCTGCATCCCTGCCTCCATAATCATATTGCCACCTCCTCTTCTGTCAAATCTTCCCTGTGTCTTTTATAAGAACCTTTGTCATTGGACTTAGGGCTGATCTAGAAAATCCAAGATAATTTCTCCTTCTTTAAGTCATTATTTTAATCACCTATTTTGCCATTTAAAGTAATATTCACAGATTCTGGGGATCAGAATGTGAGCATTTCTTTTTGGGGATCACTATTCAACCCACTATAAGCCATTACTTGCTCTGCTAAAACTCACGTACATTCCATGTACAAAACATTCATTCATACTAAGACTAAATTCTCATCTCTATATCAGCTCAAAAATTCTGAATCTCATCTTCTATATCAGGTTTAAGTAGACTATGGACATGATCTGTCCTGGACACAATTCTTCCACCTGTGGACCTTGCACTGCAGTGGCTGCCGCTCGCTTGCAGTGCTGTGTCCTAACCCATTGCGCCACCAGGGAGGGTCCCTGACTATGGTTACTTTTTTTTTAAAAAGATTTATTTATTTATGCATACAGAGCTGGGGTACAGGCCATAGGAGCAGGGGCGGCGAGAGGCTTCACCAGAGACACTGTGGGGAGCAGAATAGGCAGATCAATGAAGTACACTACTGAGGGGAGCAGTGGGCAGGTCAGACGAGATCTGCAGCACTATGTGGAGCACCTCCGGGACTGGGAATCGAACTCATGCTGAAGTGGCTTTAGCTTCTTGTGCTGTGCTTTAACCCGCTGTGCCACCATGGAGGGCCCCACAATTTCCAATTTTAATGGAACCAGAGTTGTGCTGTAGGTTGAAGTTATCCCTCCTTGGACAGTAAGACCTACAGACCAGCAAAGCTCAAGACTGCCAACATGGGAAGCAACATATTTGCAAGTTAGCCTTTGTATATACTTCCTTCACCCTTCCTAGGCCCATGTATTCTTACTATGGGGGAGAGAGTACCACATAATGATGTTTGACTCAATGCATAGATTGCATTCTTTCAGGATGATTGTAATGATGTCTTCATGCAGCCATTCAAGTTTCAGTTATCCCAGCCACTTCTGGATAGGGTATGTGGTTGTACTTCCTTTGCTGTGAAATGAGTTCCTTAATGAAACAATTTTTTTTTTCTTTGTGGAGCTCTTTTTGTCTTTTTCTGTAATCAAGCAATGTTACAGAAAATGCAGCTTTGTGACTCTGCAGTTTTGAGAAACTTATGACATATCCACCATGATCGCGTCACAGAGGGTAGTTTCACTGCCACCTGTTTGTTTATAGATTTAGTTAGCTAATATTTTACTTGAAATTCTTACATTTTTTCCACAGTCAAACAGTTTATTTTTTAAAAGATTTTTAAAATAATATAATAGTTTATTTTTATACCATTTTGTGCCTTTTCCATCTTGTCGTAATCATGTGGACTTCCCATCACCAATTCCCTCGTGTGCCATCACCATAGTCCAGTGTACTTCCCACCCTCCCCCATTTTTTATCCCGTTCCCCTATCCACCCCTGTAAAATGTCTCTGGTATATAGCTGTTCGTTATTATTGTTATTTTCTCTTCTGGTCCATTATACTTGTGCTATTAGTGAAACCATCTGGTATTTTTCCTTTTCTTTCTGGCTTATTTCACTAAGCATGATCTTTTCCAGCTCAATCCATGTTGCTGCAAAAGGCATGTGTTTATTTTTTTGGTTGCTGAGTAATATTCCATTGTGTATACGTACCACCTCTTTTTAATCCAGCCATCTACTTTTGGGCATTTGGGTTGTTTCCATGTCTTTCCAATTGTAAATAAAGCAGCAATAAACACGGGGTGCAGGTATCTTTTTGAATCAGTGTTCCTTGCTGTTTATTCTTCATTGAAGTTTTCACTCCTCACCAAATCTTTAGTCATCCTCCTTGTGCCTCTTCTAGTTTTCTTGGCAGCTCCCACGAGCTCTACTTGACTGCAAAGGTAGTCAGAGGCCCCAATCCAACCCCCTACCCCTCACCCATCCCCCCTCCACCCCACCTCAGGAATTCTCCAATCTATCCTTATTTCCAAAGTGATTTAATCCTGTCTTGTTTTAAATTTCATAAAGATGTATTCAATAGGCACTTTGATATATATGACTGGAGCTCCAGGGAGAGGTCAGGGTAAGAAACACAAATTTAGGAGTCTTTAAGTTGGACAGGGTATTTAAAAAGATGAAGCAAGCCAAGGTGGAAAAACTAGTTAGAAGATCAAGGCCTGTGGCACTTTCCCATAATGGTTAGAGAGTGGAAGGGGAACTGGAGCCAACATACTTATACATATACATATGGGTGCATACACACAAAGTGGCTAGTAAGGAAAAAGGAAAATACAGAGCATGTGCTATCTGAGAAATTATTTTTAGAAGAGAGTAATAAGTGAATCAAATGTTACTGATTGATCCAGAAGTTAAGCACAAAGAATTGATCATTTTCATGGTCTATGGTACTGATTTTTTAAAAATAATATAATAGTTAATTTTATAAACTATGTTTTATAATAGTTAATTTTGTACCTTTTTCCATCATTGTAATCCCCATGGGCTTCCCATCACCAAATTGCCCATGATGGCACTGAATTTTTAAAAGTTTGCATAATACTTATTTAAAAAAAAATCTTGCATTTCCCTAAAGTTGAAACTTCATTAATTTGTGGTGAATGCAAACTTTTTCATTTAATGAAGGATGATCATTATTCAGAACAAAATAATATCAATATGACCTGGAATAGAGATTGGCTGGAAAGAAAAGTAGAGAAAAATACTAAGAGAAATAACATATTTAAAGTGGTATTTAAAGTGTTAAACAGCAGAATAGAGTCAAAGGAATAAATTGGGAAAGATACAAATATTTACAAAAATATTTACAGTTTACAAAAATACACCAATACAATATACAAAAAAGATTAATAATTTATAATAAATCTGTCAAGTTAACAACACTACCCCATTAGGAAAATTAACAAAGTATATATCAATAGGATATTCATAAAAAAATACAAATGTTCAATAAACATAAGCGAAGACATATACTGATGTTGTTTCAAAAATAAAAACCGGCCCTCCCTGGTGGCGCAGCGGGTTAAAACACAGCATTAGGAGGCTAAGGCCACTTCTTCATGAGTTCGATCCCCGCCTGCCCTGGAGGTGACCACATGGCGCGGCAGACCTCTCCTGGCCCGCCCGCTGCTCAGCAGTGTACTTCGTCGTTCTGCTCCCCACTCTGTTTCTGGTGAAGCCTCTCACTGCCCGTGCACCTCTGGCCTGTACCCCAGTTCTGTATGCACAAATAAATAAAATCTTTAAAAATAAAAATAAAAAAACCAGCCAGAACCTTGCTAATTATATCTAGCATATTATTCCATTATTGAAAAATGATAGCACTTTTTAAAGGGCTGGATTAGAAAACTGGATATATAATATATATATATTAAAATATTAACAGTGGCTAAGCTAGATGATGAGCTGATCATTTAATTTTCTTTTCTCCTTTTATATGTTCTTTAGGTATTTCCACAGCAATCGTGTATACCGTCGTCATAAATTTTTAGTTTTACTTACACAGAAAGCAATTGCCTGGAATAATCAGTTTAGTAAGAACTCCAGGAGTTACCAGACTTATTGTAAAATAAATCTTGCTGATATCACATTTCTATTCTCAAGCAGACTGAATTTCTCATCTATAGGTCATCGATTGACGATTGATAATTTTATTGATCATTATCTAGGTTAAGCAATTCTCCCTTCCGAGTGTGTATTTTTCCTCTCTCTTTTTGCTCCCTACTACAACAGGCAGGAGAATAAAAAATATCTTTTAATGCAGACTGGCCTATCTATTAAAGACAAGTTTTGTATAGGAGGTTTTCCGATGTTCTGCACATTTCATTCCAAGGTACTGCCGCTCCCTAGTCTAGAAGCACTATAGTGTGGTACGCACTGACTTCGCACAGAAATCTGGGGCAATAAGCTCGACCTGATGCAGCCTCTTATCACATATAAAACACATCATGCATTCAACAGCTATTACTGTGCATATAGGACAAGCGCTCAAGAACACTCTCTCGAGGATTCTATTCTCCACCACCCACATATCCGACCATTTGAAATGCTGACATCGCAATCAA